AGTAATTGTGCATTCTGTGATAATTTTATTTAATGTCTGTGATTTTTTTTTCCTATTGTTGTTTAATATGAAGTTTGTAGTTTTAAACTTGATTCATGTATGTAACTTAGTAGATTTTCACTAACATTATTTTACTAACCAGAGGACCATGTGGAAGATTAGACGTTGGCTAAACATGTTTTATATCCTCAATTAATAAAGTTTATTATTATTATTATGCATATTAACAAAATTGTTGATTCAGTAAACAAAGGTTAAGGCAAGTAAGAATTCTTTGTTATGATAAAATTGTGGATAATCCCCTTAATTGTTAATTTAACAATCATTTTATCTACATCCATCAGCAAGTTTTAAGTGATCCTCTGGTAACATTCATGTACAATTTGGTCATAAAAATATTCTTTCTAGATTAAACTTACGAAAGCTGAACGTTTTCATGCATGTTTCAGCGACTGGTGTTGCTGGCAGTGCTGAGTGGATACGGGCAAACTAATTATGGTAATGTTGTATTTAATTTCCTTCTTAACCATACTGTACCGCCATCACAATCCTACATAATATATTTTTCAAAATCAGTTCATACACATCGGAAGTAATTTCACATTTTTGCGTCACTAAACAGTGCTTCTACACCTCTAGATGCATTACATTGGTTATTACAGAAAAGATAAATCCTAGGGTGAAGACATCACTGAAATATAAAACAGCCATATAATTAAGTTTTATTGATTAACAGAAAAACGTTCAACTCATTGTTAAGATCAAATGGATTTTTTAAAATTCGTTCATTTCAATATTCGATGTTTATTGTATATATGTAATTGCTTATCATTGAAAGTGGCCTTTCTCGAATACAATCAACCCTGAGTGCAATTTAGTTATCCAGAGATTCATTATATATATAAGATATGTTATATTTAATAATGCATTGAAATGGTTCTCATGTTACTTAACAGACGGGAGATAAACGTTATCATAGATGGATATAAATTTGCATTGATTTCCTCACAGGCAAGGATACCACAGGGATTAGTTTTAGGGCCATTTCTTTTTTTCATATATTTATGGTATATGTGACGAACTAGTATCTGAAGTATTATTGTTCGCTGACAACACATCTTTATATGGTGTCAGTAAGGGAGACCAACTAGAGGTTGCTGACAGGTTAAACAATGATCTTGGTGTGATAAATGTGATGAATGGGGAAAAGTTAAAACGCCGTTTTTACGAGACGGGTTAGCTCCAATACCTTACATCTATCATTTAATGACTTATGAACTTTGCATTTCATAAAAACCTAGGTCAGTATTGTCGTGAAACTTAGTAAGATCATATATATATATATATATATATATATATATTTTAGATTTATAAAATATTTCATTTATTTAGAATTTTGGTATATAACATTGATAACATAATATTAGATGTTTTAGGTTCCACTATCACGAAACATTCTATGTGATGCTACCTTCTTTCCAATGTCGGAATGGAATAACCCTTCTTCTTGTCTGTTTTCCAAAATGACATCTCAACGTAATGCGAATGATCAACAACAATTTTAGATAATTTTAAATCTCGTGGAGACAGAGAAGCGTACATTACGCTAACTTAGATTTATTCAATTCCCATTTTACAGATACCCCTGCCTGCTTATATGGTTTTCCTGTATTGTGCTCACTACTTCCTTCAGTGTCATATTTGTACTAATCAAAAACAATTTCTCTGTAACTGCCTTTCGGTTCAAACTGTCCTTTTTTTCATGGTTGGCGTCATCTTGATAAAGACACAAATTAAGCTTATGTAGAATTAGTTGAGCGATTTATTAATGATACAAATCGTTTTTGTTTCCATGCAACCACAAATCTTCGCCTAGTTATTAACTCTCCAGTATGGATTGGCACAGATTGGCGAATTTTATGGACAGTTTATCTGTGCAGACATATGGACCAAGTCTGAGGAATGTACTGATATATAGTAGCTTTCATAATTTTTTTTTTAAAAAAAACGTGTATATTAATGAACCGACATGTTCAAATTTTCATTTTCCATATTTCACAAATACCTGGAATATCACAATTGTTATGACGATACATAGATCCATCTTAGTTTGATTTTATTACTAATTTGATGTATATTCTGTATATTTTGCTGGGAGCGCCCATTCATAAGCTTTGAGTGCTGACGAATTTCTTTTACATTAAGATCGTTGGAACGAAATTATTTTGATATGAAAATACAGAGGATCCGTTTTCGAATCCAGTGGGAGGTACTGAACTAGATAATGACTTGTTACAATTGAATATCATTGCTTAGCCTTATCAACTGTGTGGGCATATGTACCATATTTAAGTTCCTGTCCACAATACTCTGCAACTTATTGTTTTCGGTAGATTATAATGGTTTATCTCTTTCACGAACAATGGAGGTTTGCTTACACACCATTTTAAAGTAAAAGTGGATGGTATTTGTAGAGGCTTGAATGATTACCCATGAAACAGGATTTAAACATTCGAAAGGTCCATAGGGTCTGTGCTACAACCTGTTTAGTGTCGTAAACATAAAAGTATGACAGGGTTCAGTTTTTCATCTGAAAAAAAAGTATTAAAACCACAACTTTCATCACCAAATGATACAGTTTGATTAACAAGGATTCGTTTGACAAAATTCTATTGCTCTTACCGAAGTTAAAGGTCTTATTAAATATTACCATTTACGGTTTTAGTGCTTCAGTAGTATTCCGTTAAAACAAACGTTATCATGTCTTGTGGGATTTTATTTTATTTAGTTTCCTTCAAATATTATACAGTTACGTCAACAGAAGTGAGGTATGCAAGAAATATCTAAAAAATAAATCTGGGCAATTTGCGTGCCTAAAGAATCTAACCTAAGCTCAAACTCCAGAAGGTCAACAGAACAAAACTATTATAAAACATTGTTTGGCTCTACTATATCTCACTCTAAATTATTAAAAGGTGCTCACTTGCGTGTCTTTTGTACAATTGTAAAACTATATGGACTTCATTCACAAATTTTTGAAATGTATCCCCAACTTCGGTCTTCTCAGCCATGACCTTGATCGCCGCTCCACCAGTCTTCAAAAACCAGTCTCATTCTCCTTCTACACATAATTTGTGTGCTCTCCCAAATGGCGCGATGATTTTACTGAGCCGAATTGGACATTTCATTTATCGTGTGTCCATCTTCACTCAATCTCGGAACGGTGTGACGCTAGCATGAAGCAGAAACCGCTCACCAATTCGCAAAATCTGATCTTATTCTCCCTTAATATTTTCAAAGTTTTCCGTATAAGTCTTCCTCTTTTTACCGATATCCCATTTTTATTGAATGAATACATCATTATACTGTGTCACAGTTAAATCGATGATGAATATAATATAAAGTTCTAGGCTGTGATCAATAGTGATAACGAATATGATTCTGTCAGTGTTCAATAAATTATATGTTGATTATGTGGTAACAGAAATCAAATTTTGCTCAAAATGTCTTCAACATTCCATGCTATGATACAATTGACATTCGTACGCTGAATGCTTTTTAATCGTCACACACGGTCTATGTTTCCAATAATCACGATTAACTGTTTAGATTTACAATTTGAATACAGTCATATCATCGATTTGTGCAAAAATATATGTGTAATTTCATCAAGAAAAAAATATAATATTCCAATTCTATGGCACAAATTATACTTTTCGTTAAGTTCGTCCTCCACAAATGTTATATTTTTTACTTGAACGGGTAAACTAGAAAATGTCTTATCTTACAATCTTAAAAGTTAAATACATGACTCTCCAACGAGACTTTGGTAACGTCAACATTATCACTATATCCTTATGACGTCACGCTTGACAACAATGACTGTGTCATTTCAAATGTAGGCTACTTGACTCAATTATACAATGTTCCACTCCTTGTTCAAAAGATATTAATACAATTTGGAAAATACTGGATCTAAGTGTTTGTAGGAATGAAGTATCGAAACAAGCACGTGATATAAACATACCTATGACTGTCTTTCATGCAGTATATGGAAAGTAAGTAGGAAGATAAGCATTAATCTCCATAGATACTGAGACCGGTGTAAAATCGATTCGTATACCCCTCAAAGGAGCAAAATCTCTTAAGAGTTGACGCCTTCTGTTTCTGTAAAAACCGTTAACCTCGTAAATGATATCACAAATGTGAATAAGTGAAACAAATCGTCAGCTTGGATTGCATTTTATTGGACAGCAAATTACCTGATCGCTTGGTATACTATTGTGTTGCTGAACAATACTGTCATGGTGCAAATTGTTGTCTTCAAGCAGGAGGGCTTTTACTCATTAAACACAATCAACAGGTGACATGCATACATTGTTTACCATCTTGTCCTTTTGTTTACAATGTCGTGTTACACGTTCATACCGTTGTTGTTATTTAGAGTTTACATATTTGTATAAGTACTTTAATGCTACCGTCAAACTCGCATACTTACAAGTATTAACATACATGCACATACACTTTTACATGCTAACATACACACGTTTTAAGATAAAAAATCATTTTTCAACTCAGAGGAATCAAATTGTGTGTGGGATTCATAATGTACTTATTTTCCCTAATTCGAGGACAGATGTATATATCCGCATTGATTCTACATGTTGAATAAAAACGAATACTATAACACAATAACGAACTAAAATTGTCGCACCAGTCATTTCCTCATTGACCAATATCAGATCGTGACAATTTGTCATATGTATAAGAGTTCCTCTAATTAACCGAACTGCCATAACATACCGGAAGTAATAGGGGGCTCACTTTAAATTAGTTTTTTTATTTAGTATTTGCAAATACATGTACTATGTAACATTACATCTGGATGCCATACATCTATGTACATGGCGCTTCACATTTAATCAATTATATTATATACAACCAGTATAAACAATTACAAGGCCGTACACGCGTTCGTAAAGCTGGTCAACCTAATCGCCATGCATAAATGTAAATAAACAAAGTGTGGGTTGTAAGCGTCAGATACAGACTATGAAATACGAGTGTAAACATATCAACACCAAAATAGTTCATTTTAGATTGAATTTAAGAGATGAAATTTCAAGAAGTAACAGATGTTTATTTACCCGTGTGCTTTCTGTATATCCATTTTATTCTGGTAAAACACAAACGTTAGGACCAATCACCGTTGCCAATGAATAATAATTCTATAATTCAAGATTATATTTAAATTAAATACTAATTATGCTTTGGTAGAAATCTAAAACCAGCAAGAAGTTAACTAACATGCTACAGTTGTGTTAATATTCAAATTCTCCAGTTATTGCTTTAATTGTCTTTAAACTAATTAAATCTTTAGTTGGAGTTAACGAACTATCCTGGAACAAAAATAAGCAATTTAAATCTTCACATTTTTTTTTAGAAATATTGCCCTGCCGATCTTAATATACCACTTGGATATTTTGCGATTTTTTTATTCAACTGAATCACATTTCGATCGAAATTAGCATTCTAGTTTTCTATATATACTTATTCTACTTTAAGTCAATGACTGTTTCAATTCGTCGTTATTAATATTTATATAAGTAATTGCATCTTTGTAAAGTAAACTGCGAATAGGGTGAGTAAACATTTGCACAGGTACAACAATATTTCTAAAATGTATACAAGACAACATTATCAAAATAGATTAATAACTAATCTAAATAGAAAGATATAGATTATGTTATTAAGTACTATAAAACATTGTAATTCATTTTTAAAAGAGTTGCTCTAGCTTCCTAGATATCGAGCCTATAAGAGTTTTGTTTCCTATCGACTTTGCTGATAAAATTTTAATGTTTGAGAAGAAAACACACATACTGAGCTCAAACAGCTAAGAACAATACCCAAACCACAAAGGTCTGGCTGTTGTAGTTCATAGTGAATTACTTATTCTTTCTATTCGTGTTACTCTACTTACTTTATATGTTGTGCATGGGCGGTGTCCAGAGTACTGTGATGTGTATGTAGTCAAAAACCCTATGGTAACGATACAATTCATTATTATATCTTAATGACTTTTATTAGGAAATGAGATGTTGGTTTTACTGTTTTAGTAATTCCAATCAATATTGAAAATAGATACAAAAGTGAGATTTTAAAGCACATTATGCTTTCCAGAAGCCTGAATGTAACTTGCGTATTTTATCTGCTGTATTTACCTTTGTAGAACTTGTTAACATTGTGAAAAGCATAAATACCTGGACACTATCTATATATTGGTTCTCGATGTGTTTTTGTGTCTTATGTTTGTAAATCCAAAATCGATAGTCTATCTGTTGTTGTTTATTTCCAGTTACTTTGGTACAATTCGCCGACTCCATCTACAGTTTGACATCGATTACTGCAGAGTATGCTGTATTATATCTGGATACGGTGCAGGGTCTTCTCCAAGAGGAAGTAGATACAAAGGGAGAATATCTAGCAGACTTCTTGGTATTTTTCATTTCCTTATATGACGTTGTTTATTTTAGTTCTTTTGCTAGATATGTGAGTGAGTCAAGCTCAGATCAATTGAGCACAATACAAATCGTTTTACAATTAAAACACATTTAAATGCGATGAATGTTTCAAATTTCCCGGTCCATTCAACCTAATTCAAGATCTCTTTTCTTGTTTAATGTAAACCAGGAATAGGGTTTTTTCCCGTGTAATATAACTTTACGGAAACATATATAATACTAGTTAACATATTGCCTATTTACGTACTACGTAGAAAAGGAATATCTGTATTTATTTATCGTTCGAAATAGGTGTTAAGGATTTGATCAGATTCTCTATTACAACAGATTGAAGTCTCCCACGTAACAGATTTCATCGTGTCCAAATTAGAGGAGCAGACAAACAGCCCTGAGTTTGAACTTATAACGTTTGGCTATGGTGAATATGTTTCATGATTCAATGATGAGTTGTTATCATTAGCTCGTTTTGTCATCCTCTGTAGTTTTGATGTGTTGAAGCCATTTTTTACCTTTGTTATCAGCAGTACATTTCATCGTCTTAATATGTACATTTTAGCATCTTTTGTTATTTTATGTTGTGCGAAATGACGCTGGACGTGTTTGATGCTTGTGAGTTTGTCTGGTGGTTCCGTTGTTATATAGCTTGTTTTTATTTGAGAATGTGACATGCAAACGACGCTTACTTTTCCGAAACATCTGGAATTATTCTCCTTGTACTTTTCAGGATTCTCCGTGTAAATCTTTCTTTTAATTATATTTGCTCTAGTTTCTTTTAATTTTAGATTATCATTATACTGAAATGTTGGTATTTACTTTTCTATTTTAAGTAACATTATTTGCTATTAAGTTATTGTATGTATTTTACAATCCAAATTTGCTTCGGTTTGGTTAATTCGTTTCACCATCATTTGCAGTTGCTTTGTTATGTAAAAGTTACTTATCATGGTTGACAATAACCATGCTGATGCTTAATTAGATAGTGTAGCCATGATCAAGTAAATGTTTGATGTACGTTTTCCAGTGCTGGTAAACATCACAGAGTTACAGATGCAGGGAATCAGTCATGTGACCTGTCGTCCAGGACAAACAGTCGGCTGTTCCCTCAGTGCTATCAAGGTAAACAAACATTTCGAATCAGACAAGTATTCAATATGATAAATAATACATCATAACATTTCGTTACAACAACTGATACATTCAAAGAAGGTAATTATTTTCTCTTATCGATATTCAGCAGGTTTTCCTGTGGTATAAGGGCCATATCCCATATATGAACACATCAGGTATGATCTGTTTGTAATCGGGTGATGTTCATTATTATAATTGTCCTTTTAATCCTTCATATCTACCTAATGTCTTATACCCCCTATATCGCTAGATAAATATATCATTGAGTCAAATAAGTTGGGTTACTAATCTTCCGAAGAACCGGTATTCTAAACGTTAATCAAAATAAATAAATGAATGAATGAATGGATGGATAGATGTTTCACCTACTTTTTTTTTTATCTCGCCCAGGCAGTACCATTAGTGAATGCCACAGAGGAGTATTTACTACGAACCTTATTACTGATCGTCTCCTCCCCAACAACATCCGAGATTACCCTTGCAGGGGCCAATATGTCTGCCATAGCAACAGAAATTCCCCTGTACGCTGTGACGTCACGTCCAAGGATATGCAGCATTCTCAGCATCCCAGCTTTACACGATGACGCCCTGACAACGATGCCCATCACCAGTAAAGTTTACATATTTGTGAGTAGAAACCAATTCATACAGGGACAGAAACTCGATGTTTTCTTGTCTATAATATAGAATATAAAAACGTCGATTATAATTGCAATTGCAATTATTTAATAACTAGTTCCTTTCTTTAAGTTGGGTTTCGTTGGATCTAACTTTGATTTCCCTGCCATCTGAGACGCCACTCTCCATAGTCTCCGTCTCTGATTGTATTTCATCTGAATACTTTGTATGCTCTAAACATAAATATGTTGGGTCTTGAAAGAAGTCTTATCATGCATTATCATATCCATGAACTGTTTTAGATATGGGTGAAGTGTGCCATGAATCTATGATATTGCCTTTGTGTATCTATTTATGTGATGGTTGGACATGGTAAAGGGATTTTGGACAACATCAATTTCAGAGGACTGATTTGTTATTTAAAAATGATACGAACCCATACTCGATCAGCCATCTGACATTGCTCACAGAAGTTTGTAGTACAATCGTGACACTTTTTTTACTCATACAAAAGTACCTAACGTTTAAAATAATACGATATTGAAAAATAGGAATATTTTTTATTGATCACCCCTATGTATTTTTTTTTTTTTTTTTTTTTGTAATGTAATTCAACCAACACTGTTAGGTTTTATATCACTAACGAGAACTAGAAGGACAAAAGAGCGGCATGGTGCAGTTGAACTCACTGTTTGAATATACAGTGTATCTAATATAATTAATAAAGTGTTAATCCCTTGTATGTTTTATACTATTTTGACAGGTTCTCTCCAGTCGAACCAACATGTATGGCTTTTTAGATGAAGACACTGATTTAAACGCAGGGACTGTAAGGTCATTCGCAAGAGATTTCGAAGGGCGCATGCTGGAGATATTCAAGGAAATCAACCTTTTTATAGAAGCGAAGTACAATCCGTCAAACCAACCTCCGAGTAAACAGGATCCAGCGGAAACAGGTTTCAATGTCACTTCAAAAATTGAGTCTGAAACAGATGGTGGTGCATTTACAATTACACTGGCGTCCCTGCAGATTTGTACAACATACATTCAGGATGTTTCTGGCGGGTTCGCCTATCAGATTCAAACAGAAGGTACTGACACACTGTTAGTCAATACGTCACCCAACACGACGCACGCCAGCTTCGCTAACCAAACGCTGTCTCTTGTGTTATATCCACCCATTGGTCCGATGGAGATCAACGTTCTCTGCGAGTGTAAGTTATATCAGTTACCGACGTACTGTCCAGTTATGCTAATCTTCAATTTATCTTTTTGGCATATGAAATGAAACATAAAAGTATGATTACTCATTGATTTTCTTGTCATATGAAAATATAATGAAACAGAATATACTTTGAACAGCACATGGATCAGAGCAGGGTTGTAATATATCATTAGAACATTAAAAATCAACAATTATGATTATGATATACAAAACGACTATGTTATCACCTCGTAGTAGCATTCGAATTTGTATAACTAAACCTGTTAGCTAAAATTAGCTAAATTAAAAACAAAAACAAAAAACAAAACCACTTGAAATTATAAAAATCATGATTAGTATTAGAAGCATACGTCAATAACCAAGCCTATGTAATATTTCTAGCCTGTATGCAGACAGCCGACATCGTTTTTCTCGCTGATTCATCTGGAAGCGTTGGAACATTGAACTTTATTAAAATTTTAGTTTTTATGACTTCTCTTGTGGACCGTCTCGATATAGGACCTGATCGCGTTAGAATTGGGCTAGTGACCTTTGGACTCGGCACACAGTTTCAGTTTCACCTTGATACTTATAACACTTCAAGTAACATCACAAACGCGATAGATCAAGTGACTTATGATCGAGGTAGCAGCACAGAAACCCATCTTGGACTGCAATACGTCAGACTGAATATGTTTCCACCAGAGACAGCAAGACATGGAGTACAAAAACTACTTATTGTAATAACAGACGGAAAGTCTTCAGATGCAACTGCTACAGTTCAAGGTATAGTAAACAAACAGTGTTCAACCAATCATGATTGTATACCTGTACATCCATCAAGGGTGCAGTTAATAATTTTTGTAAATTATTTTCAAAACATTTGATATAATAACGTCACGTAAGTAAAATTCTCACTTAAACAAAACCAATTATATATAAGAACATATGAATTAACGGGAAACATTACAGTGAGATCATCGTAAAAAGTAGCAGAGAATAGAACCAGATACTGTGGAATGAACTGAAATCTACTCACCTGGACATTTAGTAGGAGTCAAAAAACCCAAACGAATTTTGGTCATAATTTTTGAAGACTACATTTCCTCCTGTATTCGTTCCATACAGAAGCTAACGCAGTGCGAGCCGCTGGGATAGAAATCGTAGTGGTAGCCATAGGACTGGCAAACCTTACCGAGGTGAACAACATTGCTGATGACCCGGATGAATTCCACACGTTTGCGACAGAGAATTTTGATGACCTAAATTACTTGAGCTCTCAAGTTATAGACAAACTCTGTAAAGGTACGTGAGAATACTTGTTTGTTAATATTGTTAATTACAGATTGCGAACACCTTATAAAAACACTCGAATCGTCAGCAATAGACCTGTCAGGTGATCGTTAAGACAGCGTCAGCAATAGACCTGTCAGGTGATCGTTACGACAGCGTCAGCGGTCGACCTGTCACGTGATCGTTACGACAGCGTCAGCGGTCGACCTGTCACGTGATCGTTACGACAGCGTCAGCAATAGACCTCTCAGGTGATCGTTACGACAGCGTCAGCAATAGACCTGTCAGGTGATCGTTACGACAGCGTCAGCGGTCGACCTGTCACGTGATCGTTACGACAGCGTCAGCAATAGACCTCTCAGGTGATCGTTACGACAGCGTCAGCAATAGACCTGTCAGGTGATCGTTACGACAGCGTCAGCAGCCGACCTGCCAGGTGATCGTTACGACAGCGTCAGCAATAGACCTGTCAGGTGATCGTTACGACAGCGTCAGCGGTCGACCTGTCACGTAATCGTTACGACAGCGTCAGCAATAGACCTGTCAGGTGATCGTTACGACAGCGTCAGCACCAGACCTGTCACGTGATCGTTAAGACAGCGTCGACAGCCGACCTGTCAAATGATCTTTACGACAGCATCAGCACCAGACCTATCTGTCATTTGATCGTTACAACAGCGTCCGCAGCCGACCTGTCACGTGATCGTTCCGACTGCGTCAGCAACCGACCTGTCACGTGAACGTTCCGACTGCGTCAGCAGCCGACCTGTCGCGTGATCGTTCCGACTGCGTCAGCAGCCGACCTGTCGCGTGATCGTTCCGACTGCGTCAGCAGCCGACCTGTCACGTGATCGTTCCGACTGCGTCAGCAGCAGACCTGTCACGTGATCGTTCCGACTGCGTGTCATATGGTAGTTACGACTGCGTCAGCAGCAGACCTTTCACGTGATCGTTCCGACTGCGTGTCATATGGTCGTTACGACTGCGTCATTAGCCGACTTGTCATTTGATCGATAAGACATCGTCAGTAAGAGAACTGCCAAAATATTCTTTTCTTCGAATCATGACATATTCAAATATTTTCTATAGCCATTGATCATGAATGCAACTTTCCCCCTTTTTTTCTCTTGCTACCGATGATTGTAAAATACTCATTATTATGTAGCACACGTCTATCGTGTGCTTTCGTTCCAATAAACACCAACATCTTACTACAGTGGTTGTATTTTACTACTGATTCCGTCCTCTCTGTCAGAAGTCATCTAATCCGTAGCTAAAGGATACTTTAATCACGTACTAGGGACGCTCGCCTTGCAGATAAAGGAACTGGTGTTCTAAAAGCACATAAGTGATATCGATTGTTGCTACTTTTTCTAGGAATGTGGCATAATGCCTCATCTCAAGGACAGTTCAATCTCTTATCTGGCTACTTAATGGATGAATCAACTATGACATGGAAAAAATCACCTGCACTACAGGTAGGATTACACCTGGGCATGCTATCAGCTTTATATCTATGCAATTATATTAATACCTAAATTAATGTGTATAAATTATTTTTCTATTTGATCGTTGTTGTTTTTCCCACAAAAAAAACTGTTCATAGCCCGCAGAAGTAGTCTTGGAATTTAAATTGATATTTTCAATTAATACACATATCTAACACATTTCACACTTGTAAGTGATCAGAAATCAGGTTATTACATCGCAGTATATAAATGAGTAATTATATTTTAATACCATCTATCACAATATTGCGTGGCAATGTAAGATTACACGTTAACAAAACCCATTTTCGTGTATTCAGTTTAATTTTACTCTGTTTACTTTTGAAATTTACATTTGATGATATTTCATTACGATTTTCATCATCGCTTCTGAACATTGAATGCCTAACTCCTGAGTAAGAATTTACTGATTGCCTTGCACTATTACTTAATAAATCTCATAACATGCTTGTTTTAAGTTTAGTGGATACATATGGGTAGTGAAATTTTATGAAGTAGCTTCCAAACAATCACTTGCATACCAGTATTTTTGTTCTTTCTGAAATGTTTGGCTGAAATACTGCTAATAAAAAGGTTTGCAAAGTGTCATATATCAATTTAGATCATTTTTATTTCACAACAGTATTTGTTTGTTTATTAATACATTACAGTTAAAATCAATGGAACAGAACGCCGCTGTTTTCAAGAGTAATTTCTTTGGATCTTTCGGTTTTGACTTATTTGGAGATACTCCCGAACTGATCAGATTTGACGAAGTGTTCACTAATTTTGACGAGAAAATTGCTGAAAATCCCTACGTACTGGCAGTTAATTGTGTTCTCCTAGGAGCGCTTATAGTAGGCAGTGTCATTCTCAGGCGATTTGACAAGAAGGATGAAAATCAGGTTTGGGTCATTTATCCAAGTCGTTTTCATTATACAATTATTGCATTCATGTGTCTCTATATATAAAACACATCTTCAAATATAACTTTTTGCAAATGACAAATATATTTGTATACCGGGATATTGTCAACTTCTTAGGATAATATCAAAGAGTTAAAACACATTTTCCTCACATCTCCCTGTAGGAGAAAAAGGACTAAAATTCAACGCGGGCGAATATTTTCAGGTATACAGAAATTATAACTTGTGTTATTCTGACAATTTTAAAACAAGTGATATTAATCAATGTATTGTATTGTTCAATTGCTGTTCTTTGCTGTGCACAGTTCAGTGTCTTAAGTATTTATTATGTGGATTTTCACAGTGGCAGTATAAACCGCTGGATGACAACCCAGATAATGCGGACAATGTTTATTTCATCTCTGTCCACACTGGACTATGGTCACCTTCAGTCTTCATGTCTACCCCTTACATTATCCTAGATGGCAGTTGTGGCACTTCCGGTGTACGTGCACTTAAGGCGGGAGCTTTTCAGGTATGTCATTAATCCTGAGGATATAGGAAGATACACTTGATAAAGTACTTTTGATTTCACCTTCCAAAAGATTTATACATTTATAATATGAAATAAAGAAGTAAGGAGTAATTTTTACATTTGTGTTACACAGAACATTTTAAGGTGGAAATATTCTAACTTCGCCATGAACACGTATCAAACACTGGGTCCATTGGTTAGCATTAAGATCTGGCATGACGATCAGTCGGCTCGGCTACACATTGACAAAATTCTTATCGCTGACGGATACACAGGCAGAAGGTAATATGAGTTTTGTTGGATATTTCTAGCGATTCCTTCGTGTCCAAATCGATATTCTCCCTAAAAGTTTTATAAGTAAAACAAGTTTATGAATTAGCTTTAAAAGATTTTACAAAACATAATAAAGTAAATAGCGGCTTTCAATACTAATTGAACCAAATGATAAATTAAGCTGCATCCGCAATGCTAGGGACCTAATTTGTTCTAATACAGGAGTCGGCGGAAGAAAAAAGAAATGCGTTGAATTAATTATCAAAACAAGATGAATGTATGGAAACATTCATTGTTAGCTCACTGGAACAAAGGGCCAAGTGAACTTATGCCATAGCGCGGTGTCAACTTTTCATTTAAACAACTTCTTCCAAAATACCGAAAGGCCTAGAATCACTATATTTGGCTGGAAGGTTCCTTTGATGAAGCCCAACAAAGTTTGCAAAATGAAATGACATTGACCCATATTCAAGGTCACAGTGATCAAATGTTCTAAAAAAACTTAAATCGACTTCTTTCAAAATACCGGAAGGCCTAGAATCATTATATATGACTGGATGTTCCTTTGATGAAGCCCAACAAAGTTTGCGAAGAAAAATAGCCTTGACCTATATTCAAGGTTACAGAGGTCAAACGTGTTAAAACCTTTACACGACTTCTTCCAAAATACCGGAGGGCCTAGAATCATGATATATAGCTGAAGGTTCCATTGATGAAGCCCAACAAAGTTTACGAAATAAAATAGCCTTGACCTATATTCAAGGTCACAGAGGTCAAATGTGTTAAAACCTTGAAACGATTTCTTCCTAATTACCAGAAGGCCTAGAATCATTATATTTGGCTGGAAGGTTCATTTGATGAAGCCCAACAAAGTATGCGAAAAGAAATGACCTTGACCAATCTTCAAGATCACAGGGGTCAAATGTGTTTAAACCTTTAAACGACTTCTTCTGAAATACCGAAAAGACCAGAATCATTGTATTTGTCCAGTATTTTCCTTTTATCAAGCCCAAGAATGTTTGCAAAAAGAAATCACCTTGACTCATATTCAAGGTCATAGATGTCAAATGTGTTTAAACCTTTTAACGACTTTTTCTGACTAACCAAATTATATATGACAATTATGATATTATGCCAAATTAGGCATAATTATGCCCGATAATATTTAAGAAAAGAAATGACCTTGACTGATATTCAAGGTCACAACGGTCTAATGCATTAAACCTTGGAACAAATCATAATATTTGGCCGAAAGGTTCCCTTTATAGTGCTCACATAATGTATAAAAAAAATAAGCTTGACCCATAAAAATATTTAAGGTCACTGGGGTTAAATTTGGTAAAATCATTAACAACTTCTGATTGACCCAATGCTATCATATTTGGGGAGAAAAAAGTTTCACAAAGGCTTAAATACAAATATGTAGAACCTTCCATGACTAATTAAAGGAATATATTTGGCTTGGATTTTCTTGGCATAATTTTAATAAGTTATAAAGACCTTTCACAGTGATGTCACACCGTTCCAAAAAACAGATTAGGCCAAGCTCATTGGAGGTCTGAGAGGCTTGAGCTAAGTAATGTGAAAAACTACATGTTCGTCAATTACTAATGTTTTGTTCACAGCATTAAAATACAGAAAACATGATCGGAAAGAGAATTGCAAGAGCTTTATTTTGATTTAAGATTCTTCATAATTATAGCATAAATAAATATAAAATTCTAAGTTGATCCAGTTTGCTATGCAATGTTTATAGGTCTACAGTATCCAGTAGCCGTGGCTTAACTGACCATGGTGGCATCATTAATGATATGCATGGAACGTTTTATTATTGGTTTTGAGTTAGGATAATGGTTTTTAATTACGTGTACCTTAATTTGTCCTGTCTTTATATTTAAATGTTGCTATATATTGTTGACTTGTGCAAGTCTCCAACATGTTGTAATTCTGTTTGTAAACAATGATCATCCGTCCAGCAATAACTAAGAGTTCTTCTGCTATATTGTTTGACCATCTTCTTTCCTTGATTTAAAAGAAATCTACCAGTTATATTTAACTGGAAACATCATAAAGATCCAGGTGAGCAATACAGGCCCTCTGGGCTTCTTGTATTAGTGATATCTGCATAATCGTACTTGTTGCGATTGATCTTCTTTTGATATTTACCGAAGAAAAAATCATATATATATATATATATATCTCTCTCTCTCTCTCTCTCTCTCTCTCTCTCTCTCTCTCTCTCTCTCTCTCTCTCTCTCTCTCTCTCTCTCTCTCTCTCTCTCATTGTGTGTATTGACAATTTTTCGGTCAAATATTCCAATGTAAAAAAAGAAAAGAAAAATCCGACTAGGGTTGTTATAAACATGAGTTGTTATGTTAAAATCCTGATACATTACTTATCCCATTTACCGGTTACATGGAATGCTTATATCACTCTGAAATTAATTATATATGATATATTCTTTCATTAAAGGTACGTCTTTCTTTGTGACCAATGGCTAGCATCAGATAGATCGGACGGTTGCACATACCGGACACTCTATCCAGCAGAAAAAGAACTCCTGGACGGGAAAACACTATTCGAAAGTGTCACTAGATTCAATTTCTTTGACGAATACCTTTGGTTGTCATTATTCGGTCGACCATCATTCAGCCGCTTCACCCGTGTGCAGAGGTTGTATTGTGTGAGCTCCTTGCTATCACTCTCCATGTTGGGCAGTGCCATGTGGTTCAATAGCGGAAATGAAAGGCCATCTTACGGAGTCAAACTAGGATTCTTTGAACTGAACTACAAACAAATCTATGTTGGGATTATGTCCGCCCTAATGTCATTCCCGGCAGCTGTGATCATAACCATGATTTTCCGGAACAGGCGGTTTCGTGGTGAATTAAAGAACAAGGGAATGGACAAATATAAGACGGACTTAACATTCAATAGAAACAAGCCTAAGGCTTCACTTCCATGGGGTTTCATATTTGTTGGTTATGGAATGTCGGTGGGATGCATTGCTTCTGGGTCTTTTTTCACCACATTATACAGCATACAATGGGGTCAGGAAATATCGAAGGACTGGTTAATTGCTATTCTGTTTGGAGCAAGCAATGAAGTGGCTTTTATTGAACCCATAAAAGTAGGTTTTTTCTATGGTTCATTAGGGTAGAATAACAATTAAGTTTTTTCTCAAAGTCGTATTTTCATTTCACTCAATATTTAACAAAACAAGTTATTTATAAAGGTTTAAAGTCACAAAGTTAATGTTTTTCTGTCTAATAATGCTATTATATCAACTTTCAATATCGTGACATTCTTGTTATCAGTAAGAATAATTTTGTATACACATACTTATCTTTGATAAACAAATAATAAAAAGTTTTGTAGATCTTGCCGCTTTTAAGTGTATGTTTCCCATATATGAGTAGACTAGGGAAACTCAAAAAGATCAGTCATGATAATGTTCTATTCAGTTATCTCGCTTCTATCTTACGATTGCATTCACTTATAACTGCAGACAATCATATTGTCCATGGTGCTTGCCTGCATATTTAAGGGCTTGGCGAGGAGTTCCATCAGTGAAATGGCACCTTTTCAAATTGATGACAGTATCAGCTTGGGTAAGTACATGTATATAGAACAGCTTGAATCAGAATGAATGTGTAATATAATTATTCTTATGAACAGAATCTTTCCGGTTGGTTCATAGCGTTTGATTCTTCAGAATTTGTCGTTCATTCTTGACCACATATCCCCTGTTTTCCAATGGTGATCTATTATAATTGTACCATAGCTCAACAAATACGGTTATTGTAAACAAAACTGACATAATTATCATCTATTAGATCTATGGTGAAAATAACAAAATTGATTGCTCATGGGATTGATGTTTGGTTGTAGATATGCGTTTATATATTTTAGTAAACCTTAAAGTTAATTCTTACAAGAACAAATCAGCTTAACACATCATTCATCTTCTAACTATTTTTTATCTGGTTTTGTATGTATTCTATGGATGAATTTATAGGCACCCCAGCAAAGCCTAGTCAGTGGCCAGGAGATACTGAAGACTCCGTGAACAAGGCTAGAATGAAGAAAATGCGACTTCTTGACCGGCGTTTGTTTACACACTTCAGGGGATTCCTCGGAAACCTTTTATATATTGGGGTCCTGGTTTTAATTTGTTCCCACAATGTTGTAGAAGAAGCAAACTACCAAAACGCCGAATTGATCAATCAACTAAAACCATTGAAGAAGGTACGTTATAGATGATGATTGTCTCTTATCAAATTAGTTAGTAATGTGAAGTGTGTGGTGACCTTTTTCTGGTTGCTGGTTGTTGGTTTGTTTTGTTTTGATTCTATTGTCATAATCATCAGAGGGTTGTCCAAATGACACACAAGAAAAAAGCACCTTTAAATAATTTAGAGTAAGATGCAGTAGAGCCAAATATTATTTGCAACTTGACTTTTTACCTATTCATTCATTTTTGCTTATTTATGTTTAGAATTTTGCCGTCACATTTCTCTAATTCTTATCATAAACAATATTCTTGTATATGTATATAACAATAACAACAAGAAAATACCACAACATGTCAATAAAAAACCGAAGTCAAAATCTGAACAAAAGAAAGATTTAAAAGGAGACTCATAAAAAATGATACATCGAGAATAAGACCAGGTGATGTGGCAGAGTAAGCGCCTTCGGCTCCTTCAACGACATGTATCGTGCAAATGGTGGTGAATTCAAATAAGTATTGTCGCGTTCTTAAATAGAAAAAAGGTATATAGCAATGAACAAACATGAAAACTACATATTTAACGAGGATTAAACACGTCCAGCTTCATATCGTATAAAGAACTAGAATATACTTCACTATGACGCTTGTCAGACTTCCCCATATTTTTTATCAACCTGCATCTTTTAAATCCCTGTTTTACGACTTTTCCCGTCAGTTTTTCGACTTACATGTTTTATCTATGATGGGAAAAATGATGGCCCGAACTTATATTCATAATTGTATCAGATTGATTTAAATCGTCTTATATATCTATTTTGGATATTATTCTTTGTCTGCTAAAAAATAGTTTCGACAAAGGGAATTCAAGAACGTAGATGTGCCTAATCTAGCCATGTTGGTGGGTGTACAATGCTTCAAGAAGGATTGACATGCTGATTCCTGAAAATACATCTGCAAATATTATTAACAAATCCATACTTTTATTTCATCCTTTACATTCATAGTTGAATGAAACTGCTGACGTTTGGGCCTGGCTGAGTACTAGGTATGCTAACAACGTTTTCCCTAAGACTTGGTATAACGGGGATCATAGACTACCACCTGAAAGAAAATACATGAGTGATGCAACAAGCTATCGCATGGGTCCTGTCCGACTGCGCCAAATACGTATTACAGGTATGTAGGACAAAAAAGTATTTGGTAGACCAGGACACGAGGACACGTTACTTTGATAGTAGAAACAGTCTTCCACGTCGCCATTGTAAGGGTAGCGGTGACAAGTGCACGGCGGCTATTGAGGTCTGTGTACAGTGTAAGAATGAGCATGAAGAAACTAAGGCTATGAAATAATTGAGAAAATTATTATAAAGTGAAATATTTCTGACTCTCGTCCATGACGTAGACAAAAATAAAATCGCGGATAGAACTAAACTAAGGTATTGCCTGATTTCCCTTAGGGATATGTCTTTTTTTTTTCGTTTGCCAAAATGCATTCATTAGCATGCACTCTCTCACCAGGTAAATGTTATATACCGGATGTGATGCAGAAAGCCGTGAATGTTTGCAGGCACGAATACAAAGAAAAATACGAAGACAAGGCAGGATATTGTCCAGGTTAATACTTTGATTATCTTCAGGTGGTAATCATCCTCTTTCATATTTTATTAATGCTGTTGATACATGTATGCATTATAAGTCATCATTGATATTTAACTTTTGTATAGTTACATACACCATATTGCGTTTGAACAGCTAATCGTTTCGAGGACTTCACATTTAACAACCTGTCCATTATTGTAAAATTGACAAAAATAAATATATTTCTATCAAAGACACCATTGTCTCTTGGAAACATGCGGTATTTCTTTGCCAACCTCCTTTACTATAAACAAATTAACAGGCAACCACAATTACATGTAGAGTAAGATCATTCCCTATCCATCTTCCTTTTTTTCAAATCGACAGCCTTTAATTAATATCTTTTTAAGAAGGTTCATTCTCATCAGCGAAACGGAAAGTATATATATATTTCTTGTTTCGTTTAGAATGGACAACATATCGGGGCTCTTGTGACGGAAGTGGATTTACGTACGTTTCCGGCAATGCGACTTCCGCTCTACCATATACTGGAATATTTGGGACTTACAGCGGTGGCGGATATGTTAAAGATATAAACCCATTCTTGGCAGAAGTCACTTACGAAATCAGCAAGTTAGCCAACAGCAAATGGATAGATGAAAACACCCGATTTGTCGTGGTGGAAAACATGGTGTTTAATAGCAATTCCAGACTATTTAGTTTGACCAGTATGGTGATCGAGTTTCCAAGTACCGGTGGTATTTACCTCAAGCCAAAGGCTCAATCAGCACGTCTTTATCCGTATGTAAACGTATGGGACTACCTGGTTCTTGCGGCTCAAGGCCTGTTTGCCCTTATAACATTTGTTAGAATCTTGTTTCTAGTGTATGATGCGTGGAAGCTAAAAATGCAATGTTTCACGTCATTAACATTTTTAGGTAAATGTTTCAGTGTCGGATTTTCCGTGGCAGCCATTGTCTTTTACATTATCAGGATAGATCGAACCATATATATAATCGAGAAGATATTCAATTCCGCTGGTAAGTAATGAAAAACACTAAAATCACAAAAAAAGACGCTCCAAAGAGTTTCGCTATTCTAAAACATTGTTCCTTCATTTACAACAAATATAATTCACGTTTTTTCTTTCTCCTAATAACAACAGCATTACAAATCTACGGCGGAATTATATTTCAGGACGATCTGTCCTTCAGTTTTTATTCCGAACCGTATTACTTATGATTTATATTGTTTTATGACCCATTTTCTTGATGAAGTAGTGAATTAATTTCTCATTGTGGTTATCAATTACATTTAAGATGGAACGCCAAGGATTCAGATGAAAATCTGTGCACAAGTAATAAAAATGAAGCTCAGAATTACTTGAATTATTGATTTTATCATAACTTAAGATGGACTTTCATTTTCCTTTCAGAAAACTTTTTGTCATTTGAAATAGTCGTGTTCTATGACAACATCTACAAACTTTGCATTAGCATCGTCCTGTTCGTGTCAATCTTGATGCTCCTGAAGCCTTTGACCTTCAACTACTACCTGTATATGATGAAGACATCAATTATTGTATCGAAAGTAGATCTTCTCAGTTTCAGCGTCATCCTTGGGATTGCTATGACTGCATTCGCTTGTATCGTTCACCTTTTTATAGGTGCAACATCCTTCTCTTTCATGACTATGGCCAGTTCCTATATAACCCTCTTCAGAACCCTGTTAGCCATGGTTACATTACGGGAACTCATGGGGAGCACGGATGAAATCGTGACAGAGATCGTGTTCACGATTTTCATCTTCACAATGACTTTGGTTCTGCTAAACATGTTTATCTGTATCCTAAATGATGCCTTTAGCTTTGTGAAAGACGGCAAGAGCGCCGGGTTAGTAACACCATTTGACAGCGAGCTAAACAAACATTTCTGGAGGAAGATAAATCAGGCATTTAACTGTCGCAGTAACACAAACCATAAGGACAGCAAAAAACCCAAAGGTAGTCAAAACATTAATGAAATATCTATTAGATAATTGTTGAAATCACCGTGTAATAGTGCTTTATTTCTAATCAATAGTGATTTTCAGAATAAATATCATGGAGGTAGACAATTGTTAATGTTGTTTTGTTTTCTTATACATGTGAAATAATGTTGCACAATCCACTTTGTTTCAGGTCAAGACTTTTCAGATTTGCAAAATCAGGTAAGATTTTTCGGAATTTGATATGTTTTTGTTTTACCTATTGTGTACACAATACAACAAATTAAAGATGTATGTAAATATTAGCCCCAGACTTTGACAACTTGAAAAATAATTCATAATGTTGTCTGCTATTAACTTTTAAATATACACACCAAATATTTTTTTCTTCTTCATATCTTCAGTACAATACTATTGCAGTGTCGTTTTGTTTTCTCTCTATTGCAGATCGATGCCCTTTCCAACATATTATTTTCGAAATCACAAGAAGAAACGAATGAAGAGAGAAGAATTATCAATCTAATGAATGTAAGTTTAGGTAAAAGCTTAGTATTGTATCAATTATTCACATTTTTCTCTTTCGAGCTCCACGTATCAATTTCCCTAATTCTGATTCTCATTTCATTTCACAAAGCAATACGTTTATCTTTAACATAAATTTTTAAAAAAAAATCAAAACTATTAGTGATTTATTATTCAAATTTGAAATAGAAGACCTATTTATTTATTAGAATAATTTATATGCAAGTGCAATAGTGATGATTTGTTTGACATCTAAACATGAAATCCTATGATTCTCTCGAGATTTCTACGAATCAATCAGGCTTCTGACGTAAGGGTTCTACAGTCAATCAATTAACAATTATTTTGACGAAATTCTGAAGCATTTAGACAAAAGTAAAGAAGCAAGAATGGTATTATGTTATATAAGTAAAGCTTTTGATAGGGTTTTTAGCATGATGGTCTAATCTATGAATTGAAGAAATGTGGCATTCATAAGAGCATGTTGAAGTAGTTTTCATCTTAATTACTAGATAGACAGAGACTGGTAACCCTTTACAGGCAGGGGTAACCCTAGGTTTCAGGTCCTTACTTGCTTTTATTACCGATGTGTATATTTGTTTGTAATAGCAAGGAGAAGATTGTTGCCCAATTATTTTTGTCCGTAAAATCAAGACAATAAAATATTCTAAAATGAGATCATATAATTGCAACATTCTCGAAAACATTATCGCAAAATTTAGACCTGAGCATTCACATTCTTAATTGTATTGCTACCAATTTGAGATATTCCTTGTTACTTGTAACGCACGAAATTTCTAATTTACGTTTGCATTCCTTCCTTTTCCCATACTTTCTTTCACAAAAATGTACAAATCACTTTGTTTTCTTGTACTGCACATTGTGCCTTTCAAGTGGAAACTAATTGTGGATTCGTGTAATGTGCCTTTATTGTTCTATCGAATTGTTATGATAACAACATGCTTTCACATGTGAGTTATTTTCGAGAATTTCGCAATCGTTACGAATACGCGAAGTTAAATCTTCGCGAATTAAAGAAGAGACGACGAAATTAACTGAACTTCTTTTGATGCAGAAAGTTAGAAGCCAAGTCGCGAAAGTTAAAAGCCAAGTCGCGAAAGAATTTGCCGTAGTTTAACATACCAAATCCTTGACAATGTCGACTAATATTAATATATAAGGTAGGAAATTAAGAAACTAATCTGAAAGTACATGTATACGTAGTTTCGTGCAGTAGAAAGTAGGAGACAGTTGCTTAATCGATTTTTCCATCATGGGTTTTGTTTTCTTAATGTAATGTGTGAAATTAATTGTCTTTTTTGTTTCTTCTTTTCTTACAGAGGAAATGAAACTACCTGGAGGCGTCTACTTCGGATGAATATGACCACAGATGGATTATTGCAAATGATATGTACTAATATTTTCCCAAAACAATCGCAAAGCCGGTTCTTTTATGAATTTTCTGAGAAAGTCACATTTTAATTCTCATTAGGTTAAAAAGGACCTAGTACTTCTCAGTATTCCCTATTCTAATGGGCCTAGCATTTATTTTATGTGTGTTATACTTTTTATCAAGTCTACCACAAATAATATCAACAGCTTCTTGATATTCTGGTTTTATGAATAAGGACCCCAAGTGCAAATCAGGCAAGTATTTTAACACAAAGGGAAATGCCTGCAGCATTCCCAGTGAATCAGTTGTAATTTCCTATATCTTATTAATTTTGTTTATATTTATATAGTGTTTGATCCATATTTTCGTTTATCAATAATACCGATATCTTATTGTTTCTTTGTTACAAATGTAAACTGGAAAAGTTGCCTGCTATTCATCATTATAAATACAGCAATAATGTGATAACAGTTCACTGTTTTTGCTATTCTTACATAAAGAAGGCTACATTGCTTAATCAATATCAGGCGTTACATTTTAAATTTTTAATTGGAATTTGGATGCAGCACAATTAGGCCATGTATCTTGTTGATCGTATAAAATTTTTAAAAAACGGTATAGTTGTTTTAATTGTTGTTTAAGAGAGTGCTCATTGATTAACTTTCACTTGACATACCTGACATAAGTAAATGTTTACACAACAAAATAATCAATAGAGGATATATTGAAATTAACTCGACATGCTAATAACAGAGAAACACAATTAATGTGCATTGTTTCTAGTATGATGAAATATATCTAATTTCCTTTTTTTTTTTTTTTTTTTTGTTTTTTCGATAGTCTTGATATTGTTGACTAAAAGTGTAGTGATGACAATTGAGTTTAAGCTTTGGTCTTCATGTTTATAGCAGATTGTCGTCTACATATACATACATACATACATGTAATTACAAATTACATTCAAACGGTTCAGATAAGAGCCTGAGCGAGCGGGTTCCACGCCCAGTGGAGACTAGCCTCTCTCCTGTCTGACATCAGCTCTTCTCTCTCTGTGTTTAGACGTTAAAAGTAAATACTGAACAATGTGACATAACATATACCAGGAACATATTAATGTAGAATGCCTCTAGATACATTGACCAGTAATACTATAGATGTTTTTGACAGTATATCAGCTATATAGCTGTAGTGTCTTTGCTTCTATATACTGATGAGAAATATATTTCTACCAGAACTTGCGTACGTCCGTGAAGTTGATTCCCTATTCCTTATTCCTTTACTTATTCGACGGTGCAATTGGTAATTGAATAAGGAATAAGTAATCAACTGCACCGTCGAATAAGTAATGGAATAAGGAATAGGGAATAGGGAATCAACTTCACGGAGGTAACTTGCGTATGTTATCTCACGCCCAGACTATCCATTAAACACCATATCCATTGTTTATTCATACGCATAATACACACGTGTATTATTGGTGACAGCCAAATTTATTGGACGAGGCATTGACATTTGACCCAACAATGATCTCTGACCCCGAACTACTTTCGCCACGTGCGATTGTTTTCATCGTCTGCTGTCCATCATCAATATGGCTGACAGTGACGATCTGTCATTCTTGCAGGCGGTCAAGATCGGTGATGCGGCAAAACTGTGTGGAGGGGGAAAGGGGATAGTAATTGGTAAATGCAGTAATTTTGGTTTCCCAACCTTTGATATTGTGATGTACAGTTCTGATGAAAGTGATCAGAAGTTCTCGAAATTACACGCCATCTTAATCGTGTCTGCATTCACATTTTCCCGCTTAGAAGCACTACTCTTATCCGCAATAAAATCTAGTTCCAAATTATTTTTTTTAAAAGATAAACAATTTGTGTAATTTTGTAACGTATTTCAATGAACTAATGTTACGGGATGTTTCCAAACAATATTACTGAATAAATAAGTCTTTTGCATCAAAAATAGCGATTTTCTCTCTTTTTGCATATTAATGAGCCAATCAGACAACCTCCGATGTATTATTACGCAAAAGTGTCAATGGGGGTGAACCATCAATGGTTTATGTTTGCTGTTGAGTATTGTTTACGAATTACATCTTGATACTTACCAAAGTAAGATTAGATTTCTGCATCTGTGTATAAATGTGTGATTCTTGATAGCAGCTATATTTTTGCTTTGTTTTGGTTTTTAATCATTTTGTCATTTGGTTTTACTCGCTGAGTCATTTTTAAAAACACCTCTGGTAATTGCCGATTTCGCCTTCAATACATAGAAATCAGAAGTAAACTGAATAATCTTCATGATTTTCAGAACATGTAAGTGTTAACACGCGGAGGGCAAGTACAGTCTAACCTGTTATAACGGCCACCTTAGTTAGACGGCTACCTGCTTATAACGGCCGTTTTCAGACCCTCCCAATCGTTTTTGCTCATTAATGATACCTAATTTAACTGTCACCTGTCTAACGCGGCCAGCGGCCACCCTTTTCGTCCCCAAACTCGCGATCGAACCTCGTTTAAACGGCCGTTTTGACCACAAGTCATTTCCCAACAGTGGCCGTTTAATACAGGTTAGACTGTATTTGTGGCAAAGCACGTCTGTTGAGTATTGATATTCCCATCCTTATACCTGAGTAATTACATTGTGTTTCACAGTAACGAAAGAAGAGCTACATAGTCTTACATGGACTGCTGTCTAACACTGTGGTTTTATAATCGTGTTACATCAGGTTAAGTAGCAGAGTTCGTAAATATTTCTCACTGTCAAAACAACCCATATAATATAACATTCAGAAGCCTAGAGTCTTAAAGGGTCAATCAAATTCTATAATATAAAGTTATAAGATATTTTCTTGTAAAACAAAAAAGGCAAGAGGGCCTGTATCGCTCACCTGGATTAGTTTGTTGAAACTGGTTAGTTATAACCCTTGTATCCATTTCTCCTAAATATGCTCGCCCTTCCGTTCAAAAGGGTTTAGATGTTTATTTAAAAGCCAAGATCTCTTCACCAAGTATTTCAAGGAGTTTTAACATAAAAAGAATTTTAAAGAATTTGCTCGATTTCCAATATTTGTCGCCACTCCTCCCGTTCCATGGAGGTGGAACATACTGTTCATACAAAATCGATCCCTTTTACCCATATGTGTCTCAGACCTAATTGGGACACAATACAAGCATTTCTACATAAGAAGAGCAAGTTTAAAGTTTAAATTAGCACTATTCCTCCTAGTAGGCACCCATCCCTCCCGCTCTTTTCACCCTTGTCAATTGTTAAAATATCCATGTATTCCTGGAGGATTTTAAGGAATATGTTTTGTTTTCTCTATTGGGCCCTCTGAGTCGTTAATGACTAGTTGCGATTTACAGAAAAATTTGACAGACGACAGGCGGACAACAGCCGGACAACGGACGAACGGACGGGGGACGCCGTGATATCACCATAGATCACGTTGCACTTCGGGCCAGGTGAGCTAACAAATGAAATAGCTTCAACTACAGGAAATACACATGGTCACATTAAAATTATGTTGGTTTTTTTTAAGTACTACTGCCTTATCAAGTAATTTTGATATCAAGGATACAAAGAAACTGCGATCCATTGCTCATGGTTGTGGTAGAGTTTTAGTCACCTCAAATTGACCAGATGAAAAATATTAAAAGTTGCAATTGTACTGCAAAATTTATAAGAAGACAATGAGTGGTATCAGGTTACAAAATTCACAGATTTGCTGAAGTACATCAAAACCTTTTAATGTAGGACTAGTATCCGATTCTATCGTTCACGTGTTTTCTATCTGTGTGAAACTCTTCCATATACATTTTGGGGTCTGGGGACGTAAGTGCGATCACACATTAACCATTACCAAGAAATTGACAAACTCTCCGTTGGTGCCGCTTGGTTTTGTAGGAATTTAACACTATGGAATTTTTGAAAGGCTATCCTCAAAACTATACTGATGTCTGTAGGTTTTATTACCATATAACGATGTCTTTAGGTAAAGTCTCTATACGTTTGAGTACAGTGGGATGTAGCATTCATGATATTGGACCGTTTTGCTTAAACATATTTTATTTATTGGTTACGAATGCCGGCATATCCAGGAACTAACTCTCTCAGAACAGATATATCACATTAATTCCACAAAGCTTTTTCATTCTTAAAGTGTCAATTTTTTTCACTTTTGTCGTTTAAACCGTGAACTATGGCCATCGAAATCTCTTTGATGAAAAAAAAATCGGAAAAAACTTTGCTATAATTTTTATACCTATTCATTTGCTCTTACTGCTGTCTTTGGGTTTACGGACACACACGTTGCTTTACTCAGGGAGTGATAGACAAACATCAGCTTTAACATTTCTTTTACATTGAATAATCCTCAGAGGTATATAGCAATGAAGCACAAAATCAAGAACTTGCCATCACTACTTTGTAATATAGAAACTGAATGTTCTCCCATCACAATAGAAGACAAAGCCAAATCACGAGTCTGAAGGCGACACACATGTACCTACATCACACGATAGCAATGGTAGTAAAATGCTGTCTCCTAGCTGAGATGAGCTCATTGTAGCTAAAAGTAGCATCAGCGTAATGCAAGACACGCCTGCACGGCCAGTCATACGAATTCCATTGTTACAGGCATCTTCCATTTCATTTATCACGTTTATCGCGAAAATTGAGATGGTACCACTGCCAGACTCTGTGTTTATCAACAGGTGTCGATTTTTTGGACTGCCCTGAGCACTGATGAAGTTATTAAAACACCGAAAGTGCAATAAGTACCAAGCTTGTGAAATTGATTCAACATTATAAAAACTACCTGATGTATGAAAATCATGGGGCTGTCGCACATCCCGATCTAGATTTTGACTTTTCTTTTGATCATTTGGATTTTCCTTAGTCGCCTACTAGGCTTCAAAATTTAGGCCCTTTGCTTCACTGGCGAGTCCTAAAGGACGAAGCAGTTATGATACAGTTTAATTCATTGTTTTGATCTACTGTATCTCACTCTAAATTATGAATAGGTATGATTCACTTGTGTGTCTTTTGTACAATCATGCAGAATTTAAACAAGGCTTTGTGCTCATTCAGAGTTTTAAAATGCTTGGTGCTCGGAAATTGACATTTAGCGCTCAGAATGTTTGGATTCTGGATTTGAATATTTTATTTGGCGCTGTAAAACATTCAAGTTCTTGAAGTTGACTGTACAGCAACGATATATACATGAATATGACAAGGCCTCAAGTCAAACTTTTTTTGGAGAGTGGAAGCATTTGTTGGTTATCTGTAGGTCTAGTTTTGGTTTCGTGCCCTCCACTAATAAAGAGAAGTGTACAGTTCTTCAAGGATATAAGGTATTTTGTGCTTTATCTATAGTTCTAAACCATCATTTCTTTGAAGATTAGAATTCCTAAGGGATGATAACGACGGCGAGTTTCCGTCGTATAAAAAGTCCTAAGTCCTTTATACAATATCATATTTATGTGCGGAATATAAAGGATGGATTTACGCGACATTCCTAAACAAAGGTGTATCATTTTTTATGACATGCTATCAGACACTGAAGAATTCCAATATCGACACGAGAGCATTGACTCTTCTTACAATACCATATTCTCGTAATGGAAATATGAAGACATATAAGTCAATTTCCCTAATAGATATCAATCATCACCCTTAATCCAAGTCAATTTCCCTAATAGATATCAATCATCACCCTTAATCCAAGTCAATTTCCCTAATAGATATCAATCATCACGCTTAATCCAAGTCAATTTCCCTAATAGATATCAATCATCACCCTTAATCCAAGTCAATTTCCCTAATAGATATCAATCATCACCCTTAATCCAAGTCAATTTCCCTAATAGATATCAATCATCACCCTTAGTCCAAGTCAATTTCACTAATAGATATCAATCATCACCCTTAGTCCAAGTCAATTTCCCTAATAGATATCAATCATCACCCTTAATCCAAGTCAATTTCCCTAATAGATATCAATCATCACCCTTAATCCAAGTCAATTTCCCTAATAGATATCAATCATCACCCTTAGTCCAAGTCAACTTCCCTAATAGATATCAATCATCACCCTTAATCCAAGTCAATTTCCCTAATAGATATCAATCATCACCCTTAATCCAAGTCAATTTCCCTAATAGATATCAATCATCACCCTTAATCCAAGTCAATTTCCCTAATAGATATCAATCATCACCCTTAGTCCAAGTCAATTTCCCTCTCTAAAAACATAAAAGAAAAACACTCTCTTGTTATACAGGTCGCAGTAAGTGTCGTTTGTTCTGGGTATACAGCCTCGAACTGTATAGCACTTATATCGCTCATTATAGTATATATTGTAATGAAGCCCGGTCTTTCTATTCCTACAAACAGTATGACAGTATACCTAATCTGAGCAACAGCCATGTCCTCAGCCTTTGGACCCTGCAAGACATCACGATTTATTGATATATTTATATATATATTAATTATATATATATATATATATATATCATTTATTTACTTTTGTTTTCTTTTGTAATTATTTGCTTCATGTATGTATTTTATCTTTATTTTTCTTGGCGGCGAAATACATTTATGTCCATACAGAAAGTAGCGGCTAAGCTTTACACCTAATATCTATGATAGCAGGATACATTTAAACATCATAAAGAATGAAATCTTACTGCTTCATCAATATAAACATTGAAATAATAACACATAAATCAAACATCACACCTTATCGTTTCAGAAACAATATCGTTTTCGTCTTTTTCATTAGCATTGAATAAGGCATTTTGGTGCTGAGCAATCAGTTTCTCAATAACGTCCCCGCTATCATAAACTCTTTCAAGTGTACCGAGGTCTATTATTGAGATAATTTTAACTCCATAGGCGTATAATGTGTCGTACGTGTCACTTGATTTTCCATCGTGTTTAGAAACCTTCAAACGCCCTAAAATGATATATATATATATTATATATATATGCGTGAGTATCGTTAAATGCATTCCGTTCAGCCCACTGTGTTATTGGTGAAGAAGCTATAAATGCTGTATTAGAAAGAGGAACTTGTGACCTACATGTCAGTAGGAACTTAATTCAAACTAAACTGTTATGAAACTAATGCAAATGTATATTAGAAAAAATATTTACACGGAAACAACCAAAGATTAAGAACAAGGAGAAGCAGACCAAGTGTTCCGGAAGGGTGCACATCATCTGCTTCATCGACAACATCTATCGTATAAATCGATCTTCTAGCAATAATTCCATAATCGAGAAATGACACTCTGCGACATGTTGAACTCTACAGCCACAGTTCGTTGTGATTGTCCTGCTTGCAGCATCCCGGCTGCTCTGCCAGCCTCTACAGATGTCATGTGACGTCTCATGCTAACAACTGTTCAAAACAGGATGCAAATTGACAGGACATTCAGAAGAGACACAAAATGTGTTGATTGATTTGACGTTAAGTCTACACAGACTTTCATTAAAACCACAACTGACTGTTTGATTTTAACCCCCGTGTTACATGATGCACGTTTACTGTAGGTGGCATGGGCAAACCGTTACTGAAAAGTTATCGTGCATGCATCAGTGATAAAACAATGGTCAAGTGTCAAGCTTAACTTATTTTAACGGCATAAAAAATCACATATAATTATGATCCAAATGTCGTTACTATGTTTTTATCCCTGGTTAAAATAGCAGCCCCTCCCACCCCCCACCCCCCTCCCATTTCTCTATCAAAGATTTACTGTTTCTGTATCGTACAATCTGGACTACACTTATATATCAAGTTAATTTATAGGACTTTTGAGTTCTACAGATTTCTTCTCGGACACAGGTCGATAACAATTGGCAATTGTCGTTTTCTTCGTGAATAATCCTTCTTTATTACGTTATTACGAAATTAAAACAAAAGTAAATGTTTTTAGTTACCAATGTATTCAATATTTTAATTGATTAATTTAATATTCAAATTTTAAAATGCAGTTCGACATTTTAATGAAAATTCTTATAGGGCTGTTTTATTGTTATTTATTTATTTTGATTTGTATTGTAAATTGACTGGCCTAGCAATTCAGTTAATTTCTCATAGTCATTGTTACACATGAGGCAGAACATACATTCAAAGTTGGTCCAACAATCATTCTTATCCTGATGATTCCAATTAGGACGAAAACAATTCCTCGCCGTTTGATTTTTCTGAAACAGTTTAAACACGAAATTATTTGACTTACGATATCATTACTTACTTGATACATCATGAGAAGGACGAAATCGCTTTACGATACTGCTGATTTTTTCCCTTTCCTTGTTTTTTATTATTATTATCATTATCATTATTTTTTTTATTATTATTTATTTTGCAAGATTTTATTCTCGCCACTCTCCAAGTCGGTTTCGAGATTGGTTTCAATTTTGGTTTGTGTAGTTATCTGGCGTTACCTCCCTTCCCGGAAATAACACGCTTGTTATATCAACACGTGCCCAAGAAAGACAGCAAAAGAAAATGGGACGAATGAAGAAAAAGGTAAGAATATTGCTAAGATGGTATCGTATTTGTTGTTTAAAAGTAATTTCTGTACAAGAAACTGTTCTTTAGAGATATTGTAAAGTTCAATTACCTAGATGTAATAGTAGAATGTTATACCAACCTATCCTCTTTGAGTACGAGAAAGTTTCAAACCAGATAATGATAAAGACCGTTTGAAGGTATACTGAAAAACAAATTTTACAAGAGGTGTTTATTCCTTTGCTCCTCCGGTGTTGAAGATCACAGATGTCAAAATTATATGACCCATTCGACATCAATGTGAAAGAATTAATCAAAAAGATAAACAGATTTTTATATTGGTTGTATAAATTTGAAGATAGTTGTATTTTTTTATTTGGGATTTATCTGTGATTTATCCAAGATAGCCTACCAACACAGTTCAGATTTATATAGAATGAAAAAGTTGAAGCCAAAGGTGTCAGGTATGATTATAAAGCTGTCTTATTGTTTATTCTGCGGATCTATGCATGTTGCAACTGTATAACATAAAAGGACATTTTGTTAAGGTCAGTGGCAACAATATATTGCAGGTCTGTATATTTTGACATAGATATCACCTAGGTAGTACCCAGAATTGATTTTTACACCACAATATGGTTGTAGCTTAATACGTTTGGCTACAGGTGAGTTTGATTACCTGTCCACATTTCAGATTTCTAATTGGCCTTATTTCAGCAAGGATAATACATTGTATAAAGATATTATAAAAACAGTGAAAAATCATAGATGTTAATGCTTCTTAATACAAAATGTTATGGGAAAATGTGAAACCTAACACAGCTGAGACCTATGGCAAAAAAGCAAAACCTAACATAGTTGATACCTACAACAAGTAACCATCCAAACTGCTTAACTCTTCAATGTCTGCCAAACAAGTTAATTGGAAGACACATATCGACTTGGGATTGACATCCTTTCATGTCAGGTATATACCTGGGTTAACACCTTGACATACCTAGTAAAACTGGCTGTCTTGCTGCTTTATCAAGGTGAATTCACAGTCCAATTAACAAATAAATGTCCTGTCAAGACCACTAATCCCTGCCAGCCAGCAGGTAGGTGTATACTGGTAACCCAGGGCATTTGAGACTTAAAGCGATGAATAAACATTGCATTTGACAAACACTATGTTGATAAAATAATTTTTATATTTAAAACAAAAACTTCAAAGAGGTGAAAAGATGGTTCCCATCACGGAAGTGATTACAAGATGAAAATTACATAATAAACAAATTGATATATAATGATATTGTCTTCAGCTACATAAAAGTTGTCACTTATATGTAAATATAGATGTGCAGTGAACAAAATCAAGTTAAAACAGCATAAATTTGCCTTACCATTTATCAAAACACTGTGTGCCTATAATTTTTTAAGATGCCTGCCAAACCAGGATACAATTCATTGACCAAATTATCATTACTGGACATTGTTTAGCTACTTTGATGTTTAAACTGTTATGGTTAAATAACAAACTTACTTATTAGTCATTTAATAGTACTGGACATGCTTATTTAATTAAATAAAGCTGATTTAATGTACACAGTCTTCATAAACACTACTGGTGAATATGTGTCAGGTGACGGAATTGACATCAGAAACGACAGACCAATCTGAATCCTTGATTTTCAGAAGGGAACTAGCTCTGGACAATTTAGCTTCCTTGGTTGTTTACAAGTAAATATACTGCTACCTGTATATCATGCAATACACTAATTACTTTTTTCATACATTATCTATTATTTTTCACATAAAATGTAGTTTTAATTTTCATTGCGGGTGACCTTTAAGGTGGTGTTATGAAACAGATAAATTTTTGTGCAGAAGAGATATTCTTACAACTATATCAACCGTTTACCAGGTAGTAATAAACACAAAACGTCACAATGAAATCATGTTTCACCAGTAATGGAATAGATTGTTAAATAGCACAAATCAATGAAATGTTATGCAGCATAAGAAATGTATGCCAAATATACATATATGCCAATGCATCAAATACTAAAAATTAACAGGATACTTGCAAATATAGCATAATAAAAAAAACAACAATGCAACATACTGAAAGAGTATTTTAGAAATGGCAATATAAAAGTTTAAAAAACATGCACAAAGTAAAAAATAAACAGCAGTAAAATAATAAAGGAATTAACTTAGACAGGAATTCCCCCCAAAAAACCCAAACATCATTCAAGATCAAAGGTTCATTTGCATTCTCTGATCTTTTATCATGTTTATATAAATGGTATATTTTAAACTATCATCATGATTCCTGTTTGTATGATGTACAAAATGTTGTTTTTGCAGTTTGAGAGTGGGGAAGCCACTGCCTTTATGTCTAGAAATCAAGCCATCAAGAAACTTCAGCTCAGTTTGGCAGATTTCAGGTAATTGTGACTGATTTCACTGATTGGTATAAGATGCTAAATATTATACTTTTTAATATGTAATTACTAGTTAGTATTCATCTGAAATGATGATAAACTAAGTGTAAAATCCTGTTTTCCCCAAAGCAGTTTTTGGTGCGAGTCCTGTCTGTACATGTAATGTGTGACACTTCATAATCCTTCTTTTCTTGGTAGCTCAGGTAATTTGTGACACTGAATTTTTTCCCAGACATTCTACACCAGATTTTTTCAAACAAACTCTTCAAAAGAGGGTTGTATTTTTGCTCTGGGGGACAGAATAGCATTAATTGTTCCCAGATAAATATGTGATACATTTCAATTTTGACTGAGCATATGTCGTCTTGTTGAAGTTTTTACTTTGTTTACTCAATTTTAACTTGAAATCTTACAAAAACGTTACATTTACCTGAAGACTTTACTGATAAGTCAGTTGTAACATTTCGGGATAATCTTATCTTTCACAAGTAGAAATAATTACTGTAGAATACTAGAGCTGGACACTTTTTTCTTATATTTGACAACAGGATTTTTTATGTATAAATCACACAAAAAAATATTCCCATGCATTATGTTTAATTTTTGTATTTTACCTGCTTTTCTTTTTTACAGGCGCCTATGTATATTGAAGGGAATCTACCCCCATGAACCTAAACATAAGAAGAGAGTTGGGAGAGGTAACACAGCTCCCAAGACATACTACTTTGTCAAAGACATACAGTTTCTGTCACACGAACCGATAATATGGAAATTCAGGGAGACCAAGGTATTCACTAAGATAGTCAGTGATGAAATTTCTTGGAAGAAATTGTTAAATGGAAAAAAAGTTTTAAAAACATTGTATATACTTCATTGCTTACAGGTAGTCATCCTATTCATTTGAAGTTGGCACAGTAATGGAAATGAAATTTACATAGCTGATACCGATGTTTTTTTCTCTGGAAAACAACAGGCCAACGCCTAATAAATTTGAAGAGTTAAATTCTGAGAGATTACATCTATAGCTAGAAATATACATTATAAGTCATAGGAGATATTAAGTTAATTTTTTGTGTACAATAGAATATATTTGGAGGTTATGAATACTAAATAGGTCAAAAATTAAGTTGAGAATTTGTATTGATTTTCAAGTATTTAAGTCACCTGACATCAACTGGCCATGTATAACTAGCTCCTGCAACATTTGTCTGTAATACTTTGGATGGAGCTGTTTACAACTGTACAGATGTTACCCTGTGATAATTGGTAGAAAACAAAATCATAGTCATATCATGAACATTGAGCTATGATACAATTATGTGTACAATAAAGAAATTGTTATGATAGAATTAGGTATTTTGTGCAAGATTCAGGAGGTAAAATACCATAACTGTTGTGATTTCTCTTATAGCATTATGTACGGCGACTGAAAAAAGCCTTGGAGAAAAATAACACAGAAGCAGTCAAACGTATCAGAGGCAATAAACCAAAATACAAACTTCACCATATTGTACGGGAAAGGTAGGTGGATGTATTAACAGAGAGAGAGAAGTGTTTATAGGATCACATTATCAGCAATTTAACCAGGTTTGGTGATAGTAGGTGACAGGCAATTTTTTCTTAGTCCAAAATCTTACTGAAAGTTAAGAGCGACTAGTCAGTTGATGTAAATTTCAACCCATGTAACAAAATTATTATGCATGCTGATAACCAACGCATAATTTTCCCCTCAGGATCGAGTCTTATAGTATAATTTAGATTGTTTACAGTAGATCTCCTGTGCTACTTGTCACTGGAACTTCATACTTATTGTATGAGTTCCCCTTAGTGAGGCAATGTGTTGTATATCAAAATTAGGTTACTTTGACCTTTGAACTATATGATTAATGACACTATTTAACAGCCACTAGATTTATTTGCAATTATAGTAGCACTGACACTATTCCTCATTGAATACAGTGAGTATGTTCGTATCTATTAAATGATATTTTAATGACATTTTCCAGCACAGGTTTCTTTAGGGAGCCTCTTTGCTGTACTCATAAGAATTATTGTAATTATAAACTAATAATATGTAGAATTAGTTCCTACACAAATTTATGATTTGTGCATTTTCGGGATATATTTTCACATTAAATAGGAGAATGTAATTCATGTAATTGTCCTGTTTCCCAATAATATACAAAGTAACTATCAAGAGTATAGTTATTACAAGAAATCAGTGGGTGAAGAATATATGGTTGATAGTTTGGGGGAGTTTTAATTACAACTTAATTACAATTTTTAATTACAAATTTAAAAGTTGTTAAATAGAATTGTAGTCAGATTTGATGTGTTTCTAACTTTGAGCCAAATTAATGCTTTACACTATTAATACTTTTATTATTTTTATATTTAGAAAGCCTATGATGTACACATAATTATCTGTGGTGGATGTTGATACATTGTTACTATCAAGTATCTTACTATTCAACCCTTTATACAACTACAGGTATCCCATGTTCTCTGATGCTATCCGGGACCTAGAAGACTGTCTGTCGATGTGCTTTCTATTTGCAACTCTTCCAAAGACGAGTAGAACCTTCACAGAACACATATTCAAAGCTAGAAAACTAACAGGTATGTAAAACGTGTTGATATCTAATGAAAAATGTCATGAAAATAGAGAGAAAAAATGTTGACTGTTTTGAGATGATTTGAAAACCGCTTATAATTAGAAGACTTCATTAGCGCAAAGTTGAATTGAGTTAAACCGGATGAAAATTTGTACTTTTTAAATGTATATTGTGCAATTTCAATATTAGCTTCACTGTACAGGACACTGAAGTGAATACCTTAGTACCTTCATCTTAAATTCACCTTGCTATAGACAGTTGGTGAAATTTATTGTACAAAGTGGTTCTCTTATAAAACTTAAATGTGCTAAGAAAAATGTCAAATTTCCTATATAGCTTGATAGGAGTTTTCAGATTGGTTGAGATTGTACAGGATTTACAAATGATCTTCTCTGTATTTCAGTTGAGTTCCTTCATTATGTGATTGCCTCTAAGTCCTTAAGAAAGGTGGGTTAAAAGTAGAAGAAATAATTATTCTAAAATAGATCATTGTAAAACTCATTACATCTTTCACTCTTTTTCAATGGGTTTTTTTTTTTACAATTCCAATTTGCACAGTTTTATTTCAATCTCAATAAAAATGAAATATAAAACCCCTCGAAAATAAAACCACTCAAAAATAAAACCTGTGGAAAATAAAACCTCACAAAACTAAGAGCACATGCCTTTGGAAAAGTCTTAACATCATCTACAAAATGATTCATAATTTGTCATCGCTTTTGAATTTTTCAGGTGTATGTCTCCATCAAGGGGATTTACTACCAAGTGGAGATACTTAATGAGACTATCACTTGGGTTCAGCCTCACAAGTTAGGGTATGAGGTAGGTTGAAAACAAGTACCTCGTTTATCGGACAGTAAAACCTATATTCAGGTAATAAGCCCACTCATATCTATTGCTGTATGGTACCTTTTTGAACAAATGCCATTTCATGGTCCTGTATTTTGTCCCAGAAATCAGAGGAAGTGGTTAGTCCCTAGGGTCTTGTTTAATTCCTGTCTCCTGACTAGGAATCAAGAGTAGGGTGACCTGACTTCAAATAAGAGGTATTGTCTTAATGCCAGGCGTCCTATAATGATTCTGTCTCCTGACTTGAAGTCAAAGGTTGTATGTTGACCCCTGGGGTCCTGTGATATTCCTGTCTCCTGACTTAGAGTCAGAGGTAGTGTCTTGACCTCTGGGGTCCTGTAATATTCCTGTTCACCGACATAGAGTCAAATATAGTGTGTTTAACCCTGGGATCCTGTAATATTTCTGTCCCCTGACTAGGAGTCAGAGGTAGTGTGTTGACACCTGGAGTCCTTAATATTTCATCTCCTGATTTGAGAGGTAGTGTGTTGCCATCAGATGTCAAGATGACAGCCAGGCCTTTAAAATGTTTGAGTTTTACTGTGATTTTGCAAGAGCTACCAGGAATCAACAATACTTCCAGATTTGTTGACTCTGTGGTATGAATTTACTCTCTGTACGTCAAAGTTGATATAGACTCTCGAATCCATATCTCCGAAAAATATTGAGTGTATGATCAGAATGTAATCACTAAAGTGAAATTCATCAAGGTCACATTTATTGTTTCTGTTATTTCTTATATCTATTTTTGGACATTGTTGATGCTACAAATGCCATACTGTAGAACTTCATATCTTTGTTTCTGTCTTTAATAGGCCCCAACTGAAGTGGATTTCAAGATCATGCAGACGTTTGTGGAGTTCTACATCACAATGTTGGGGTTTGTAAACTACAAACTCTACCATACACTTAATCTACACTACCCACCTCAGGTTTGTATAACAAAACTTCCTTCAGGTATTTAACCTACACCACCCGCCTCAGGTTTGTATACCGAAACTTCCCTCTGGTATTTAACCTACACCACCCTCCTCAGGTTTGTATACCGAAACTTCCCTCTGGTATTTAACCTACACCACCCTCCTCAGGTTTGTATACCGAAACTTCCCTCAGGTATATAACCTACGCCACCCTCCTCAGGTTTGTATAACAAAACTTCCCTCTGATATATAACCTACGCCACCCTCAGGTTTGTATACCGAAACTTCCCTCTGGTATATAACCTACGCCACCCTCCTCAGGTTTGTATAACAAAACTTCCCTCTGGTATATAACCTACGCCACCCTCAGGTTTGTATACCGAAACTTCCCTCTGGTATATAACCTACGCCACCCTCAGGTTTGTATACCGAAACTTCCCTCAGGTATATAACCTATGCCACCCTCCTCAGGTTTGTATAACAAAACTTCCCTCTGGTATATAACCTACGCCACCCTCAGGTTTGTATACCGAAACCTACGCCACCCTCCTCAGGTTTGTATAACAAAACTTCCCTCTGGTATATAACCTACGCCAATCCAGGTTTGTATACCAAAACTTCCCTAGGGTATTTAACCTATACCACCCTCCTCAGGTTTGTATACCGAAACTTCCCTCTGGTATATAACCTACGCCACCCTCCTCAGGTTTGTATAACAAAACTTCCCTCTGGTATATAACCTACGCCACCCTCAGGTTTGTATACCAAAACTTCCCTAGGGTATTTAACCTACGCCACCCTCCTCAGGTTTGTATAACAAAACTTACCTCTGGTATTTAACCTATACCACCCTCCTCGGGTTTGTATACCGAAACTTCCCTCTGGTATCTTTACAGTGAGCTGTATGTATAGTATAATTTTGTTGGGCTTACATTTCCTGTATTTTCAACAAAATGTTCATTATTACATGTGTAAGATTTAATTGATGTGTAATACTCCATTAACAAAAAATAGGATTTTTGTCAAATGGTCCATTAATGGACATATAAAAATTAATGATATTATGGGACTTCAACTTAATATACTTCAAACATCAACCTGAAAATATTTCATGACACATAGTTGTTATATTACCTCTATTTTGCATAGTAGTTTTGACAGATGATTGATAAACATGATACTATAAGTGTTTTACTATGTACTTATTTTACAACAAATAGCTATTTATTTTGTATGACAGCTTGAGGATGGTTTCACAGAGAACGACTTTGATGAAGAAATGACACGAAAAGAACGAGTTGAAGAAGTAAGTTCTAGTTCATACTGTTGCATGGTCAACTTTGACTTGTAGTCTGGTTTTTTGAGACCAACATATCATAAAACAATAAAATGAGCTCTAATGGCTTTGAGATGTATTCAGACATTAAGCTTGATATATCTTCTGACCATATATGTAGATCTGGAAGGCTTTGAGATGTAACATATGTTTTCACAGTGAAGTTATCATCAACTACTACCAAAGAATGTCCCTTGCTGTTCATGGGACAATTAACCTAACAAGAAGAGCTCAAACCAAACCAGATTTGTTTAGATTTAATTTTTTACCCGACCATCATCAGGTGGTGGGCTATTCTAATCGCTCTGCGTCCGTGGTCCCTTGTCCATCTGTCAATCCATCGTCGATCCATCCGTCACCAATTCCTTTTATTGCTATTTCTTGAGACAAAAGGACAGCCATCTTTGATTTTTTCAATGAAGTTTGTTATTGCTTTTTCTTGAAAAGTAAGAGATGGATCTCTCTGAAATTGCATATGTAGGTTCCCCTTGGTCTTAAGTTGTGCCCATGTAATATTGGAACTGATCAGAGAAACAAAATGGCGGAAAGGTGGCCATCTTGGAGTTTATGTCCCTTGTTGTGCTTGTTTGAGTTTGGGACTGATCAGAAAAACAAAATGGCGGACAGACAGCCATCTTGGGATTATGTCATGTTTGTTGTTGCTATTTCTTATGGAGTACAGAATGGATATCTCTCAAATTTCATATACAAGTTCCCTTTGGTCTCTCCTGGTGCTCATTTGATTTTGGGACTGATCAGAAGAAACAAAATGGCTTCCAGGCAGCCACTTTGGATTTGGCAAGTGAAGTTTATCATCCCTATTTCTGCAAAGGAATGTTCAAATGTCTTATCATTAAGAGCAAAAACAGAAAGAGAATAGAAAAGATGGGAAAAGATCAAATTTTTAAAGAGCATATAAAGACCAAACAATAGTGGGCATCAAGATCCCTCTGGGATCCCTTGTTACTTTCATCAGATTCCTCTATAGCATTGCAAACATTGCATTCTGTAATGTTTTTGTTTTGTCTGGTATTTCTTATGTTGGCTTTGGCTTCATTTCAGTTTGATTAATTTTGTTTTTGTAGAAACTGGCATCGTTGTCACAGAATGTGATGTCTATTGATGCTGGAGGGGGAGAGGATGATGCAGAGATAGATGACTTCCCTCTTGCAGATGTAAGTAATTCCCCTTTTAGATATAGATTATCTGCCCTTGTTCATTATAACCATGGTCAAAATGCTAATATAAATTATTACATTCTTATAAATATAACAATAATAATTGTTCTTCCTTGTTAATTCTTTGAGGTTAGTTATGTATATTTTCTGCTATCAAATCAATTTCTCATTCAGTGTTTTTGTCATAATTTGTCATTGTAAGATCATTTCTGAGATCAAAGCATTATGTTCATGTGGTGAATTTCACTTTCTTTGATGAATAAATGACTTGACAGAGTATACTTCATTTTCTTGGACATCGTTTTTGGCTTTTGCCGAAGGCAGAATTCTTTTCTGTTAGTCTAAGTATACCAATTGGCTATTTACATTTTATGTTGGACTTAAACTTCTACTCCCACAGCCAGATAATCCAGATCACATTGAGCAGGCACGTGTTGAAGCAGAACAACACAAGAAATTTTTATCACTTTTCAAAGGCCAAAAATTCTTCTTAAATCGTGAAACTCCTCAGGAAAGTTTGACATTTGTCATCAGGTATGTTCATATAGTCAGCTAATGGGTTCTTTGTTCTAAACCACGGTGCGGTGTCCGACGTCTGTAAACTTTTTACTAAAAATCGCATCTGGTCATGGATAACAACATGTTTTGATTCTTCATTTCAAATCATGGTGCGGTGTCTGAAGTTTGTAAACTTCTCAGTAAAATTTGCCTCTTGTCAGAATGACAATATATTTTGACCAAATTTGATTAGAAGCATTCTTGGGGGAAAGAAAGTTTGTAAAAATGATGGTTCTCTGTCTGAAAGGGTCTGAGGGACAGGGCCCAAAAAAAATCATTATCTAGTAAGAATGATTGGAATTTGTCCAACTTTGGTCTTGATCATCCTTGGGTGAACAGGAATCAAGTTTGTATAAATGGTTGGTCTCAAAGGGAAAATAGGGCAATTTCTTCATAATTCTTCTTCTTTTGCAAGAATACCAGGATTGTAACCCGATTTAGTCTGAAGCATTCTTGGGTGAGGGGGAATCATTTTTGTATAAATGGTGGGTCTCAGCTCCCTGGAGCGGGAATGGGGTACCTATGGAGAAATTTAAGCAAATTCTTCCTAATCCTTCTGTAGGAATGCTAGGATTCTTCCCCAATTTGATGTGACCCTTTTCAAGTGAAAAGGAGTAAAATTGATAGAAGTGTTTGGTATTATTCCCCGGGCATGGTCTTGTAGTTTAATTAGGCCATCCCCTTTTGTAGTGCACTGTAAACTTTTAACACTTTTGACTTCTTTTGGAAAACTCCTGAACGGATTTCAGTGAAATTTGACAAAAACCTGCCATGGTTAAAATGTCTAAAATATGGTCCCAAATCCCAGGAGCCTGTGGGGCAGGGCCAAAAAAGGGTCAAAATAATTGAAACTTCTTCTCAAATCCCAGTTATCCCAGTGTTCTTCATTAATGGACAGGCCATCAGATACTTTACCAAAATTGTAAATTTCATGACCTAAGGGCCTCACATTTCCCCCAGGGGAGGAGATAAAGTTTACTATAGTTTTTATAGGAAAATCACATTTTTTTAACATTATTTGTATATTTGTGATGGGGAAATAGTGGCTGATTGGCGGGGTCAAATATGGGTCAAATTGACTGAAATTTCATAAATCAACTTCTGAAATCCAACGTATGGTAGAATCAAGTGCTCTTCATGGATACTGTTCCTGGATGGAAGATTTTATATAGAAAAATTCAAATCTTGAATTTAATTTCTTTTTATTCAAACTTGGTGAGAAGCCTTAGCATGGGACAGCAGTTAATGTATACACATTTTGCATTTGCTATGTGCGTACTCTATAGTTAAAGTGATATTACTTTTTGAACAAGGTCATTTCGATGACTTGTTACAAGAAGCATTATGACTCAGGTGACCGTTCAGGCCCCTGGGCCTCTTGTTGCAATTCATAGCAATGTGGATTGCATGGTTCTGTATCATAATCAGTAATATGGATGGATACGTTGTACAGAAAATTCTTCTCTACATATTCAGGAATATCTGACTGTATTTATTTTTGTGTACTGTATATGGGGAGACATTCACCCAGGGTTTCTTCATTCTTGTATAAAACTCTTCATACAGTGCTTAAATCTATTTAGAATACATAGATATATTGAGAATAAACTTCAGCATCAAACTTTTACCAATTTGAATTTACCTTCATGGCAAAAGAGCATTAGGATGAACAAAATATAAAACTGCTGTGATTGTTTTCTTATATACAATATTAGGACAAATATGTAATGTTTATTTGTTTGGTTGTATTTCTATGTGAAAATTTAAGTATTTTTGCTATAAGATAGTTTGATGATATTAATGTTATGGTATGTACAGATCATTTGGAGGTCAAGTTTCTTGGAGTAAAACTGATGCCCAAGGTGCTACATATGAAGAGACAGACCAGACCATAACACACCAGGTAGTAGACAGACCCTCCAAAAGTATGGCCACCAAGTACATTTCCAGGTAAATTTCTAGTGATTGAATTGTAACGCAGACTGGTATGATTTGATCTTACTTTGGTGATTAAATCATTTAAAAGACTGAGTTGGTTACCATTTGATAATGTGTCTATGACTCCTGTATCAAAGGGATTGATTGTGGTGTTAGTAAATGATCTGGTTATAAATTGTATACATTTGCTTATGAAGGAAAATGATGGGTCATATATATTTATGTGAAAACAAGTGTTGGACTTGCGACCATGGCACAGAAGTGAGCTTACTGTAAAACATATACATTTGTTTCATGATATCAATAGGTAAAATATGTGCCCCATGATTATTTTTGTGATAAATGTACCTTTGGATATATAATGTATATCATAATATACATATGTAATATGTTACAAGTTTATACATATAGATAAAATTTACAAGGCTGAATGACTTCCATGTGTGTAATGTATATTTCCCTCACACGTAAATTTTCACATTTATATTGATATATTTCATTCATTTGGCTGCATTAATTCTTTTATTGATTTCTGTTGTATTTATATGATGGCATGAATGATTGAGATGAAGTAATATACTTTAGAACATTTGCTGACAAAACACTGGACCCTATACACGTCACATCATGATTTTTGTTTAAGAAACTGTTTTTCATTAAAACTGTCTGAAACGTCTTTATAAGCTTACCTGGCCTGAAGCTTATGCCATGGTGCAGCATTTGTCCCTTGTCCTGCCTCAATTCATTAAACAAATTCTTCTCGATAACTAATTGACCAAATGTTTCAATATTTGGCTGGTATGTTCCTAGGGTGAAACCCAACAAAATTGCGAGAAGTAATGACCTTGTCTTATATTCAAGGTCACAGGTGTGAGATTTGTTAAAACCTTTTAATGATTTCTCCTCATGAACTTAAAGGCCTAGAGGCATGATATTTGGCTAGTATGTTCCTTGGATGAAGCCTGACAAAGTTTGCAAAAATAAATGAACTCAACCTTTTTTCAAAGTCACAGGGGTCAGATTTCTTAAAACCTTTAAAGGACATCTTCTCATGAACTAGAGGTATGATATTTGGTTGGTATGTTTGTAGGATGAAATTGAACAAAGTTTATGATAATGACGTATAAATAAGGTCACAGGGGTCAAATTTGTTATGCAGTTAAGGATTTTGTACCAGGTCCATATCAAATATTATACCCTGAAGGACGTTTGTATTAATGACATTATATCTTGTAGAACTTTTGTATAATATTTAATTATAATATGTTAATGAAGTCAATCCACAATTCTATGGCAGCAACCAAGAACAATATAGACATAAGACAAGGTCTGAAGTTGATATAATTCTTGGTATGTGTCTCATTCTGTTTACTGTCTCATTGCTGTCATGACAATCTGTTTTGCATTGACTTTACTTATGACATTTAACATTATACATTATATCCTGTAGATCTGTTGTAGAAATGACATTGCATATACCCTGTAATTCTAGTGTATAAATGATATATTAGCATATATTTCAGCTTCAGACTTTTTTATTTTTGACCTATTTACAAAAGAGTAAAACAAGCAAAACCTTAACTACAGTGTACTTGTATATAGTAACATCAACAATAGACAAGTTTACGATAAAAATGAAATAATTTGATTTTAAAATTTTATTAATTTAAGAGACAGTAAAAGTACATAACACAAAACACAGAAGGACACCTTTTTTTATTAACAAGATGAGGAAGTTATCCAACTGCATAATATTGACAAAGCATGAAATATCAGATTGCAGAAAAGAACAGATTGTGTATATCAGTTTTAATAGAATAGTCTCCCCTTGTTTAGATTGAAATTCATCTTGAAAGTGAAAGTTCTCATCAATATGTATTCAAGGATGATGTATCAGTAAAGAATTATCTCCAGGAATAATCAATAAGGAAAAAAGAAGTTAAAAAGACTTTGCCTGTCAAGGAATGTCAAGTTTTTTTACCTGTAAAACATTATTTTTTTCCTGGTTCATAGAATTAAGAATAGGGAATAAGTAATTAGTGATATGGTGTTGTTATAGTCTATGTATTTTTACCTATTCCTGGTTTATTTCCACTTTTTGGTTACTCATTTGTCCCTTATCAGTGAAACAAGGGAGGTTGAGGGGACTGCAGTTTTCCCTCTCGGTCTGTCTATTCATCCTTCTTTCTTTTCATCCATCTGTCTGTGTACAAACACACCAAAGTTGATCAGCATTCTAGAGGTTTAATTCTTAAGGGTTTTCATCAAACCATCAAACTTAACACAGCTATAAAGTATCATATTATCTTGGATGAGTTCCTGTTTCAGGTCAATGGCAAGGTCAATGTAGCTATTTTTAGAAAGTCATTGTCAATGCTCAAGCGAATTCATTCCTTGAGGGATTCTCATCAAACTTCACACACCTAAACAAAGCATCAATATACATGTATCTCGGACAAGTTCAAATTTTCATGGTTGAGTGTTTCATATGAGATTGTATAAAATTTGCCTAAAATTTTAATGTTTGCTGGCAAAACCTTACCAAAAAAAAACTCAAAAGGCACATTTCCTAAAATTCTTGTCAGATGGCTCTGCATCTGTGGTTTTTGTTATCAGTATTTCTTGAAATGTACTTTATGGATCTTTATCAAAATTCATATGTAGGTTCCCCATGGTCCCTTGTGCCAATGTGATTTCGGGAGTTATCCAATAAAACAAAATGGCTGACATGCAGCCATCTTGGATTTTTTCAGTGTAGTTTGTTATCGCTAATTCTTGAAAAGTAACAAATGGATCTTTCTCAAATTTCATATGTAGGTCTGTAGTTGTGCCCATGTAATTTTGGGACTGACAAAAAAAACAAAATGGCTGAAAGGCGGCCATTTTGGAGTTGAACTTTAAAAATTTGTCATTGCTATTTCTTGAGAAGTGCTGATTGGATCTTTCTTAAATTTCATATGAAGGTTCCCCTTGGTCACTGCTTGTGCCCAATTGATTTTGGGTCTGATAAAAAAAACAAAATTGGCTGACAGTTGATCATCTTATATTTCAACTTTGAAAGATTGTTATTGCAATATCTGGAGAAGAACTGGATGGATCTTTCCTAAATTTCATATGTAGGTTCCCCTTAGTCCCTTGTTGTGCCCATTTGATTTTGGATCTGATCAGAAAATCAAAATGGTCGAAAATGGCCATCTTGGATCATGACTTTAAAAGTTTGTTATTGCTATTTCTTGAGAAGTACAGGCTGAATTTTTCTCAAATTTCACATGTAGGTTCCCCGTGGTCTCTAGCTGTGCCCATTTGATTTTTGGTCTGATCAGAAGATCAAAATGGCAGTAGACAGACATCTAAAATTTTGACTTTGAAAGATTATTATCGCTATTTCTTGAGAACTTCAGCATAGATCTTTCTCAAATTTCATGTTTATGCTTTCCTTTATCCCTAGTTGTGCCTGTCTGATTTTGGTACTGATCAGAAAATACAAAATGCCCCACAAGTGGCCATCTTGGATTTGACTTCAAAAGTTTGTCATCACTATTTCTTGTGAACTACTCTATAGATCTTTCTCAAGTTTCTTGTATAGTTCCTTTAGGTCCCTTGTTTTGCCTGTTTGAGTTTGGGACTGATGAGAAAAACAAAATGGCCAACAGGCAGCCATCTTTGATTTTGCCTAGTAAAGATGGTTATTATTAACAATACCTCTCAAATTTCAAACATATGTTCCCTTTGGTCTCTTCTTGTGCTTGTTTGATTTTGGGACTGATCAAAAGAAAAAAAGGCTTCCAGGTGGCCATTTTGGATTTGGCAAAGAAAGAATATCATCACAATATCTGCAAAGGAATGTTCAAATGTCCTATCATTAAGACCAAAAGCAGAGAAAAGAAGGGAAAAGATCCAACTTTCAAAGAGCATATAAAGATCAAACAATGGTGGGCACCAAGATCCCTCTGGGATATCTTGTTTTATGTTTCATATTCTGTTAACTTTCTTACTGCTCTCATTGCAGTCTGTTTTGCATTGACAGTAATTAAGTTTCTTAATTCCATTTTTGAGCAGCCATTGTCGTTTAGTAAGTAATAGGCATCAAAGTTAGAAGTGTTCCAAAAATTGAAAAGCAGGATGTTCCAAATAAATCTTATTTACTGAAATACCAGGTTTTTAATGTCCTTATATCATCCTGTACAACTTTTTATACTTTGTCAAACATGTCCTTTCAGGACAGTAGAAAATGTGGAATTGCAGGGAAATATGATAAATGACATCATACCCTGTAGATCTGTTGTAGAAATGACATCATACCCTGTAGGACTGTTGTAGAAATGACATCATACCCTGTAGGTCGGTTATAGAAATGACATCATACCCTGTAGGTCTGTTGAAGAAATGACATCATACCCTGTAGGTCTGTTATGGAAATGACATTATACACTCCTGTAGAGAATATATGCTTTGTAATCTACTTACAGATGCTATGTACAACCTCAGTGGGTGTATGACTGTGTCAACACAAAGAAGCTGTTACCTGTGAATGATTACGTCATTGATGCTGTTTTACCTCCTCATCTGTCACCTTTCGTGGAGGAGCAGGAGGATGACTACATACCACCTGAGAGGCTGGCTCTACTAAGCAGACAGAATGATGGAGAAGATTCAGGTAGACAAGGTGTTTTGATTAGTGGTTAATTGTCTGACAGTATGCAGAATGCCAAGGTGTAATCCACAAGATACTCCAGCATGACATAGTCACTGCTTACACTTGTATTACTAACTGTATGAAGCAGGATGATAAAGTGGTGCTAGACATTTGATAGAGTGTGTTTTGATGGTGAAAAATTTGTGGAGTTACTACCCACTACCGGTGCTACTCCAACCTTAGGAGATAAATGTCATACAAACGTGGGGCTGATTGGTGCAGCTCAGTCTTGTGATTTTTAGAAACAAGTTCACAGATGTTGTTCATGATAAAATTCCATTCAGTAGTGCAGACTAGATATGTGATTGTAGAGATTCACAGATATTATCCATAGTATAATTCAGTTAATTATGTTTAGTGAAGCCTAGCCATGTGATTTTTAGAAAATTTACATGTATTGTGAAAATTTACCTACCACACCAGTGGATGTGTTTTTGTCATCCTTAAAATTAGTTAATTGATGATGTTTGATGTAAAAGATTTCATTACCTATTAACAGTCCTTCATCTTTAATGAGGAACATATGTACATTGGTTTCAGTCCAAGAAGTTGTTAATATTTGATGAACTGTGCAATACAACAAAGCCACCAGAAAAATTCCATTTAGAATTTTTTTAACAATTTTTGTTCTGAATTATAACTCAATATAAAAGATATTGTCTTGGTTAATTAAAACATTATGTGTGAAAGTTATCCAAGGAAGTGAAATCCCATAACCTTTTGACTGGGTCATATAACACTGAGTTTCCTTGTATCTTTTGGTTGGATGCACACCTTCACAAAAGGAATCTAAATATATAAGCATCTAGGGAAAATAAATAAATAATTCAAATGTTTGCAAATCTATTGCTTAAAATAGATTACTTAGATGAATAAATTTCCTGTTTTCACACTTTGTTTAAACAACTTTCATATACTTTAAAAACATTACAAAAATTGTCCGCAAAAAAAAATCATCCTGGAGTAGGCCACTGCAGACATGAGCACATGAAATGGTTTGTTTTCATTCAGTGTTAAGTTCACCCTTAAATAACATTAGTTTATATTGCAGTTTCAGCCTAAAACTTTAGCCACTTTTTATTTTTGATCCATCAACAAATGGGTAAAACAAACAAAACTTAAACTACAGTGTAATTATATATAGTAACATCAACAATAGACAAGTTCACAATAAAAATGAAATTATTTGAATTAAAAAATGAGTGTATTTTATTAATGCATAATATTAACAAAGCATGAAATATCAGATTGCAGAAAAGAACAGATTGTGTATATCAGTTTTAATAGAATAGTCTCCCCTTGTTTAGATTGAAATTCATCTTGAAAGTGAAAGTTCTCATCAATATGTATTCAAGGATGATGTATCAGTAAAGAATTATCACCAGGGATAATCAATAAGGAAAAAAGAAGTTAAAAAGACTTTGCCTGTCAAGGAATGTCAAGTTTTTTTACCTGTAAAACATTATTTTTTTCCTGGTTCATAGAATTAAGAATAGGGAATAGGGAATAAGTAATTAGTGATATGGTGTTGTTATAGTCTATGTTTTTTTACCTATTCCTGGTTTATTTCCACTTCTTGGTTACTCATTTGTCCCTTATCAGTGAAACAGGGGAGGTTGAGGGGACTAGTTTTCCCTCTCAGTCTGTCCATTCATCCTTTTTTACATTAATCCATCTGTCTGTGTACAAACACACCAAAGTTGGTCAGCATTCTAGAGGTTTAATTCTTTAAGGATTCTCATCAAACCATCAAACTTAACACAGCTATAAAGTATCAAATTATCTTTTATAAGTTTCAGTTTCAGATCAAGGTCTTTGTAGCTATTTTTAGGTCATTTGACCTGTGCTTTGTCATCGTCCGCCCTGCACCATCTGCTGTGCGTAAATTTTTGACATTTTAAACTTCTACTTAATCTCCATCAGTAAAGTTCAGTGCAAATTTGCATGAAATGATCCTGAGATGGTCCTGACCAAGCGTTGTTATTTTTCGGGTATGTTTGATATCCAAGATGGCCGCCATCTTCAAAAACATATTTTAAACTTCTTCTCCAGTTCCACTGGTGCCACTGGGCTAAACATTGGTGGGAATAATAAGGAAAGGTAGCAAACAAAATTAATTGTCAGTGCTCGGGAGGCTTCATTCCTAATAGAATTTTCATCAAATTACACACGATCTAAAAGGACAAAATTATCATGAACAAGTTTGTGTTTTCTGGGTTGTTGAGAGTCAAGATCAAGTTCACTTACTATTTTTAGGTAATCATTGTCAGCACTTTTGAAGGGATTTTCATAAAACACTTTTAAAGCACAAATTATGAAAAAATCTTGAACGTGTTCGAGATTCAGGTTTGTTGAATGAATGTCAGGGTCACCATTACTATTTCTTGCTCGCCTGGCCTGAATAGCAAAGTGAGCTATTGTTATACCGTGGCATCATGACCAACAGAGTGAATTTTGGCAAAAAATTATCGGAAGCATCCTTGAGGGAAGAGAATGCATTTTATTTAAAAAAATGGGTCTCTGTCCCCAGGTACCTTAGGGGCAGGACCCAAAAGGGGAAATAGAGCAAATTATTTTAAATCTTTCTCCTCCTTTAGGAATGATTGGATTTTACCCAAAATTTGATCTGAAGTATTCTTGGTCTAAGGGAAAACAATTTTGCATAAACTGTTGATCTTGGTCTCCTTGGGCAGGAAGGTCAGGCCCAGTAGTAGTAAAAGGGCAAATTCTTGCAATTTCTTCTCTTTTATGAATGATTGGATTTTGCCCTAATTTTGTCTAAAGCATTCATGGTTAAAAGGGGAATCAGTTTCAAATATACAGTGGATCTGGGCCCCCTGGGGCAGGAGGGACAGAGCCAAACAGGGGAAATAGAGCAATTTATTTCCAATCAAACTTTTCCTGTAGAAATGATTGGATATTGCTCAAATTTGGTCAGAAGCACCCTTAGTTGTGGTGTCACTTACTATTTTTAGCAAATATTTTTAGTTTAATATAAAGCTTGCTCACACCTCTATATTATTTATTCCATTTTCTATGTTATATCATAACCTCTGTAATTACTAAACCTTGGCCTTCCTGTAGGAATGGGTGAGGAAGATGATGACAAGGCAGAGGCTGACCAGGATGAGGACGATGAAGCAGAGGAGGAGGAGGAAGAAGGTATGCGTGTGTCATACACAATGTAATAGAATAAGAACTGTGATGTTATATGTAATGGCTATATATGAATGTATTGGTTATCTGGTCATCATTGAAAACTAATCATTAATCTCCTACAAATGATAAATTATTCTTCTGAATAACCAAGAGGTGGACATATATTGAATGACCTTTACTTTCACAAGACCACAGGGGTCAACTGTGTTAGAACCAATTCTCAATGTCTAAAAGTCTAGAAGCTACAATGTCTTTGGCCAGTAGTATTCTTTGATGAAGGGTTCAATTTTGTTCAATCTAATAATGTTGACCTTCTTTCAAGGTCACACTGTGCTGATGTGCTATGTATATCAACAACTTCAGCATAATCAAGTGGCCTAGACATTGTGCTAGTAAGAAGCTGAGAAACAGGTTGTCCTATGTTGTAATGGTTTTGTCTTTGGGAAAAAAACACTTCACCCTAGTTGACATGTGGCCAGTTATTTGTATGCTTGTAATTGAAAAAGTCATAGACCATTTTCTTTAAGGAAACCTCCACTCAAAATGACTCTGGTTGTTCATGATTGTTAACCAAGTAAATAGTTAATTATTTGCCTTCTGATTTCGCACTCTATCCCAACAGATGAGGATTCTGAACAGGAAGTTGAGGAGGAAACTAAACGTTCAAAACAAAGGGATGTCAAACACAAACAGACACACGAGTCAAAGGTGAAAACAAAGAAACTGAAGGTATCTACAAGAAATGAGGGATGGAACTACTTCTCAAGTTCCTCATGTGTCAGCAAGCTGAAAATTTGTGGGGGAAGTTAAGTTAGGGATTCAGACAAGGTGACCCTTATAGTTGTCTTCTTATCTATGGTTTAATCAGTGTTCTATTGATAAAATAATTATTTTGATCAGTACATCATTGGTAGAGAGGGAGGTAATTACAGTAATTACAGCCTGATAGGTTTAGTAAAGAAATAGTTAGGTCACATAAAGAGTCTGTTATTACCCTGTTCAGTAGTCTTTTCATCATATTTCTCCTCAGCTCAAAAACGGGAGTGTCTCTTGTATAAAGATTTCTTGAGAATATGTCATGACCTTTGTGTGGTTGTCTCTAGGATGAACACAACACTAGTGCAATGTCAGTGGAGAGAGGGAAGATGCAGGAAGAGGATGTGGAACGAAAACGTTCACGACAGATGGCAGAGGAACGCAAACTAGCTGAAATGACAATCCCTAAGAAGAAGAAAAGGATGTATGATAGAGTCGTTGCTGCAAGGAATAAAAAGAAACAAGAGGTTAATTTGATACTTTTCCTGTTTTACCATATTCTTATCAAATCTCCACCCAAGTTATACTGGATTAGGTAATCTGGCTTGTCATCTCCTAACTTTACTCACACCCTTAAAAAAGATTAAAGTGCCAAGGGCACTTAAAGAGGCTGTGCGTGATGGATTTAAAGGAAGTGGTATCGCAGTACAGAATGGCAGAAAATGATTAAGGAAATTTAATAAGGGTCATCTAGAAACTTTTTGGAAAAGATATTTTTAAGTCATAAAGAGCACCTTTCTAATACTGCAAAATATAAGTTGTCAATAATCAGTTTGAGGACTGCTGCAGTTATAACAAAATTTGGGTAAGGCTAAAATTTCAGAACATTTACTGAACAGAGTACTAAAAGCAGAAAACACAAAAAAAAAAACCTATACTTTCGATAGTTCTTATGCTAAGAACCACATTTTCATCACACGATTTTGAATACAGGACATGTAATAGGATAAAATTCTCAAGAGTCCTCAACTCTCAGCTCTGCCCTCCTGCGAGTCCAAATTAAAATCCTAGGAGTCATAATATCAAAACTTTACATTGTAAATTTTGACTTAAGTAGAGCGATGGAGTGTCTGACTTGTGACCAAAGGGTCACTAGTTTGAACATTTAAAGACTGTTGTGAATTATTGACTAATCACCTTGAAGTTAGCAATAAAGATTTAAATATAAAGACAATATTTCTTGCTAATTTTATAGGATAAAACAGTTTACCAGGTATATCCCTGTGAATGTTCCAAGCTGCAAAGTTGCAGCTCTGACAATATTACCATTTTTTCATTACTTTGGTATATATTGTATTGTAGAGAGGAGGTCAGAAACATTGAACTTTGTAATCATAGGCCAAAATGAAGTGTCAGCTTGATGATAGGTGGATCAATTGATATACAGCTTGTATATTTCAGTGGTCTCCCCTTGTCCATCATTCACATAAACGGTTGAAACGGTTTGGGTGGTCTGTAATTATTCCACTATTCACATAATAAAGCTCAAAATGCACAGTTTGGGAATTTTCTGTCAAACATAAAGCAGTTAATTAAAATCAAGATACCATCCATTTCACCCATACTTTATAACACATTGCTTCCCGAAATATGTGAGTGTACTCACCCTACTTTTCATGCTGAAATTCTGTGAACTAATGATATTCAGTAAGTAACTTTCGGACAGGTACAGTTGGACCCCTCAAACTGCATGTGCCAAATGTTCTGCAATCCAGCCTCGGTCATAATCTGCACCTGGCGTTTATCTTTCAGTTTTAACCATTTCAACTGCATTCACAAAAGCGCACATAAGTTTATAAACAAAGTAGGGCAGAGGAGAGCAGTAATATGTGCAGAATACTTGTTGAAAGGATGCATCATTGTGGAAGATTTTTTACGTTTCCTTTTTTTTTTTTATCTAATATCGAAGTATTTAATCATATCGCAGCATTAAACATCATGACATTAAAAAGAATCATATTTATTCGGAATAAAAAAATCTTCAGCTAATGGAATTTCCATTAGCTGAAGATGGGTGTTGTTGATTTTTTGTGAAAAAAAAGTTAGGTCAAAGTTATTGTGACACTGTAATGACCAAAACTGGCAAAACAACTTTCAAAAAGTGGGGGATTGGGTAGTACAGAAATCTTGTTGGTTGTTACAACATTGCATAACTAATTTAACCCAAGCCAAGTTCGCTGGGCTATATCAATTCAGTTTGCCAATCCTCAAAAAGGATGTGTTCACTTCTAATGAACCACAAGTCCTTGGCATTTTGCCAATAACTTTTAGGAATGTTTTTGGAAATGGAAAATACAAATTTATAGAACACTTTTAAATGAAAGAATGAGAGTCTTATTCATCATCAATTATTTATCTTAAAAATCCATAAGGTTTAGATTGATAGCCATAAGCATGGTGCTTGTTTGGATAATATTAGTATTTGTTCAAATAGATTTAGTAATATTGACCATCTTTGAAAGGCTCTGGAATGAAGCAAGTTTTAAGGTTTTCCCAATAAAAGCCCTGTAGGTGATGTTGAGTGTTTGCTTGCTACATTTTATCAAGTTATAAATCTATTTACATTACTGTGTTAATTTATTTCCGTATTAACTAACTACAAACTTGTCCATCAATCATGAAAAATTTAAAAAAAAACACTAGTATTTTTTATAAATTTGCAAGCCACATGTTCAATGTTGACTTTTGTATTTTAAATTTTCAGAAAAGGATATTGACAGAAAAACGGTGTTCAATAGAAAAAGCCAAGAGGAATGGAAGGAAGGAGACATTGATTTGATCGTGAAATATTGTTCACCTACCAAGTCTATCATTAGCTTATGCTATGGTGCAGTGCCTGTCGTCAACATTTTCACTTGTTCCTTTCGCATCAACTTTTTCTTTAAACATATTTTAATAGCCAAGAAGTCCACTTCCTTGACCCACTTTCAAAGTCAAAGAGACCTAATGTGTAAAAATCTTTATAATGATCTGATTGAGAAGGTCAGATCTATATTGAATTGAGCAAAGCCCATTTCAATGAATTTGAAATTTACCAACTGCCATGTTCACTACAATGAGACAGATGAGCAATACAGGAATATTTAGTCTTTTGTTTTGTTGTGAACAAATGTCAAAGAAATGTGATTTTCTGGACTGAGTTGTATTGTGTTACATTTAGGACACTGCATACTTACTGTGGATAGCTCCTCAACAAGGCTTTGTTCATTTGGAATTCCTTCATTGATAGCATCCTCAAATCGGAGAACAAGAGAATTTAGTGTAAATTATTTCCATTAGAAAGAAAAAGGAAAAGGTTTATATGTGAATTAATGTTTTGTTTCATGTCATCAAGATTGCTACTTTTGGAGCTGAGGAAGTTTAACGAGGTAATTTTGAAAGAAATAAAGATTTTGAACATGTGTTGGTTTATGGTTTGTATTTTTGAAATAGTAAAGAAGATGTCCACGTGTTGACAATCCTAGCATGTTCACACAATCTGGATCTAAACTTTCCTTTTCATAAATTTCACTCTGCCATACCAAGGTCATATCATGAAGTTTACAACTGATGATTTTAATTACTGTATTTTCTGGATTATAAGTTGCTGCTTTTTTCCTCGATGGTTGGGCAAGCGTCTTATATACCAGTATTTCTTATATATGGATGAAGAAAAGAAACCTGACAAATGGAGAAATAAAATATGAAGTGGATATCTGAACATCAGATCCAGACTATTATGTATTTCCAAACAGCCATTTTGTCCAGGTGTATCATATGCTTTATTGTAGATTATTGTTAACAATATGAATTTCCTCGTTATGGAGCTCAGGTAATTCATGCGATATCAACAGCTACATGTATGATGTCTTTTAATATCTGTGTATGACTGATTATCAACCAAGATGTCCATTTATGGACCTTGTCTAATCTAGACTTATCTAAACTGATCAAATAATTTCGTCTAAAAGAATTGATATCTTCAAATCCTACAATGCAGTTTTCAACTGATCTTTTCCCAACTTGATTTTAATGGTCACAGCATTAAATGTGCATGAATAGAATTTTGATTCCACAACTCCGAGACAACTTCTTTCCTTTTGTTTTTTTCAGCATTTTAATCTTGTCTGAAAATTTCTTCTCTCAATTCATCCTTTAATGACCATAGATTTTGGTAAGTTATAGCCTGAACAAATATGAAGACAAATTTCTGTAAAGTTTAGTGTGCTTTATCATAAACACATAACTCTATTTCCCTCTGATGTAATTTGGTGGGGCATGTTGTGGAAGGACTTGTTGTCCTTCATTCTTCTCAGCATCTTTAATCAAACGGGGATCCTTTCTGTAAGTTTTCAACAGATAATTGTCTCATTGAGAGAAGTTCTCATAACAGATAATTAATATGACATACTGTATGTATTAAGTCCAGGTACAAATATGCATTACAACTTGCTCAGAAGTCAGATTTCTACAGACATTGACAGGATAATTTAACTGAACAGAAATATAGTTGGATGTGTTTTATTACAAGGCCTGACTTAATGTCAGATTCACACTAAATTTTTTTGAACTTCTCTGACCTGGCTCAAAAGAATTTGTTTCATCTGTTAGGTTTCAACTGCTCACATCTGGTTGTCACAAATATTTTCAGAGTTTCTTGTTTAAAGTTAAAGCAACCATTTCAAAATGAAAAATCTAGGCGCAGTCTTACAAGTTCTCCAAAAAATTCTGTTTCATCAGCAGTGAAATTGGGACAAAGAGGGACTTAATGAATCTGAGCAAGATTTGTACAGTATTTCTCAATGATTCTTTCATGTAAAAACTGATTGGAAAATTGATACGGACAGAGAATGATTATTTTCAATTGTCAGGATTTTATATGTACCTCTAGAGAAGTACAAGATTAATTTTTCTTCCATGTAGGTGGGAAGTTATCGATATTTCAACATTCAATTGACCATCTTGGGATTTTTTTTCCCCTGAGTAACTTTATTACCATTTTAGGACAAGGACATGATATCTTTATTTCAAATTTCATATTTAAGTTCTCATTTGTCCATTTGCATGATCAACATTGGGACTGCCCAAAATTTAAAATGACAGAATTGTAAAGTTTGTTCTTGATATACACAAATGTCTTTACTGCTTGTTGAAGATGAGCTCAAATTATTTGACCTAAGAGACCTTGACTATAGGTCAAGGCCAATCATTTGAATAAATTTGGTTGCCTTTCATCTACTAACGTTAAAGAACCACTATCAACCGCCTGGGCCATTTTATTATTGAGCACAAGTCGTCTTAAGATTTTGACCCCTGTGAAGTTGTTCAGAAAGAGAGAATATCAACACCCTAGGCATTTTGGTTCTCGAAAAGAAGTTGTTTTAAAGAGTTTAACTTGACACTTGAGACCTTGAAAGTAGGTGACAAGTGTGTAATCTTTCCAATCAAATGACTTCTTCTCAATAACCAGAAGTCTCAGGGTACTGATATTGGGCCTGTCACATGATGGGATGAGGATGAACCAAATTTGTTAATATGAATGACCTTCTGCCAATTGTGAAAAAGTCATTTGAATTAAAAGTTTACGCACGGTGGACAACGTACGAAACATGATGGCTATCGGTCATCCTGACACTTCCGGTCGGATGACCTAAATACATATATATATAATATAGATTGCATCTAAATTTCAAGCGAACAAGTGCATTTTCCAGTTAGCATCTTTTATTCTTGAATACAACATGTGTTTCACGATAGTTCATTTACTATTCACAGAATGATTGAATATTTTTTAAGAAAGACAGCAAATCAACAAGGGGTGTACAGTTCTGTAAGTAGGGCACTTGTATCTATTCAGCTTATTCAACTTTAAGACTTATTGATAGATTTTTCTACGACTCTTGCTTGTATGCACAAAAAAATACCAAAAAGCATTTACTTTTTTTGGCTAGTGATCGGGAAAAGGTCTGTGGTTGAATAATTACAAACAGAAATTGTTCATCTCGAAATCATTTACAGCCATACTGTGCATTTTAATTTTGTGTTGAATTATAACTAGAGTAGAAAGACAAGAATATCTAAACTCAGTGATTTATAATACACCTAGACTTAATCTTGCAAACAATTGTCTATAGTGATGCTCGTTTACACATCTTTTGAAGTTGAATGACATAATGTAAGGATACTCTGTTCCATTACTGCCTGTAGAAATGATCCTTTGTTTGTGGTGGCAGTTTCAATACACCTAGTCTTTTAAATATGCCTTTCGCATCATATTGTGATAAAATAAAAAAAATGATAATCAACTTCAATTTCTTTGAAACAGCAGATGATAAATATATTTATTCATAATTGTCAGTAAAAATTATTAATCGAAACTTTTACTTCAGTTCACAGATACAGTGAACACAGCTATGCTCTAGCTATTCATAGAAGAGTATTGCATGTTCAACATATGTTATAAGCCTGTAACTTATATGCTTCAGAAGCAGGGCATTCCAATCCTGTTGGAGCTAGGTTGTGAAATTACAGAATTGTACACCCCCCACCATTTTATATATTGATCCCACCTTTAACTGTTTGCAGTTATGTTGCTCTTCCAGTATAAATGTTCCAATCATCATCATCACTGCTTAAAATTATTCAAGATCAAGAAAACATGACAATTTGTCTAGCAACAAATGTTAGCTTCATCAGGTATACAAGAAAGGTAAACAGTTACCATAATTGGTAAATGATATATTATAATGCTACATATATATGTTTAGAAGATATAACCTTTAGCTTTGTCTTCTCCGAGTTTATAATGTGTATCAATATACATAATGTATAACAGCCAATAGCATCAATCCAGTATAAAATACAACTTCCAATGTTGACATCAGCAAAGCATGACAATCATAACAGATTGTTTGGCCTGTTTGTAATGTCAATGCATTTGTTGTACTATACATTGTTCGTCTGAACACTGATCCAAATCAAGAGCGATCTTCATCTTCTCGCAGATACACATTTCATCCAGTTCTTCCTTGTCAAATAATTGAAGTGCATCGCTGACTGAAAGAGTTTGAGTAACAGCATTCAAAGTGGCGGCATGCACCATTTTTTCTTTCATCTTTGCATCATTAGGTACCCTAGAAAAATTAAAAAAGGAAAAAAATATAATTCTTGCATACAACTTCATATGCAGTTAGCAGTCTTTTTTGTAAACAAATTAATTCAAACTATTTGAGAAAGTATTTCATTTCTTCTTTTCAGCCAAAATTTTGCATAGCTTCTTTTTTTTGTACAAAATGTTCACATGCAAGGTTGACAGGTCATGTTATATTCCAGCATGCAACGTTTCAGTCCATTTCCACTATATTTGGCTCACCTGGCCCTTACAATACCTGTGTAACTTGTCAAAAAGAAAACACCTGGATTTAAGAATCAAGGGCACTCAGCCACCACCTTGAAAGTGGGTTAAGATTATTCATTTCAACAAACTTCGTAAACCTTCATCCGTGCATGCTACAGGCCAAATATCATCATTCTGGGTGTTCTGGTTATTCAGAGGATGTTTGAAGTAACAAACTTTGGTCAGTGCCATGTCCTGATCATTTCATGTAAGTTTTGACTCAATGAGACATGTAGAAATTGAGAAGAAGTTGGAAATGTTTACGACGGACGACGTACACCGGACAAAAGGCATCGCATTAGGTCATCAGACCCTAAAAACTTATGCAGTAATAAAATTGCAACCCCAGCAGAACATTTTCTGAACAGCATACCCCACTTGTGTATTTACCCAAAACCCATAATAAATTCTTTGACCCAGTGACCTTTTAGTTCTGGATTTCCTAATGCTCTTTATTTAGAAGGTTTGGCTGGGAGTACTCCCTCAGTCCAAACTGACCAAGTCATTACAAGGAGCTCTTAAAAGGTACAGTACAACAGGAATATCTCCACAAGATTTTGCATAAAGTGCTTAATCAGGAAGACACAGCTTTTGCAATTAACAAAATTTCCTTTTAATAACGAGGTATGGAATCGAAAGATGAACACCGGCATTTGTACCCTGTTTGAACTGTGTTAGTTTGCTAAAATGTATGAATGTCATCGGTAATCTGGTTACTAGTTACAAGGTAGGTTTGCATGCAGCCTAGCTGAAAAAGTACTATGACCACCAACACATCTAATATAACTGCTGCATTTGACACGTCCATGCCTATCATTATTACATATTTCCAATACAGCCAAATATATCACACTACAGCAAAATCAGTTAAGTTATAGTCTCATCATCACCATGACTGTCAAGTATTGCTTTATGGGATGATAGTATGTCAACATATCTGTCTTTTAAATGCACATACCTATCATGCCATGGCATCACAACGATAAATATGTGAATGAGTGCTCACAATCATAAAATATAATGGGTTGTGAAATTATATACAACTTGATAAATAATTTAACCTATTCCATTTCCCGCTGATTATGATGCAATGATTGGGTCACAAAAATAATGATAAAGAAGAGCTTTTCTAGAAAAAGATAAATTCCCATGTTTATATTTAGCTGTCGAGATACACAGCACATGCGATATCTCGCATTTTTTTCTCTCAAATTTATAATTATGCAACATATAACAGTATAAAATATAACTGCTAAGAACATTAAATAAGTTATTCTTGAAATTATTTGTTTAAGTCATCGCTCCTAGAGATTTTAATTAATTTCATCTCGCATTTCTTTGTTCTTGCAAGCTCTATTATGTCCAACACAAAGGCAACATCGTTGCATATGGCTTTTTGTTCTGAATATTATACACGACACAATTCTCAAACCATGATTTTTACATGACAATAGTCTAATTCTGAAATGAAGTTACAGCCGTTTCACTGTAAAGTAACATTTCAGCTGACCTAATTCTGCTGTGTCAGTGCGAGGGAAGACATTACACGTTTGTTTCGGGTTATGGAGACGGAACCAGGAAAATATAAAGGGAAAATCTCCGCTACAACAGACTGTAGACGAATTTATTACATTGAAAAACTTACGGGTAATATGTTACTTACCATGATATGAAAATTACTTTTTCTATCGTTTTCCCTTCTTTGTCCTTACGACCGGCGAAATCGACAGCACCGTACAGGCACTTCTCACTATAATCCTCTTTGATACACCTAACAAAATTCTCAAAGAATTTCTTTTTATCCTCACAATCAATCGTTTTTTCTTTCTCAACGATAACTTCTTTAAACCCGTCTCCACTGAGCTTGAATAAACAGTATTGTAATGTGTGATTCTTCTTCAGCTTATTAAAAGTTTCGACGCACTTGTCGTTCATCTTAACTCCGGACGCCATGTTGGAGATATGAGGTGTGTCGGTACAGCTTCCGCGTCACGTGTTTTACAGTTCGAAGTTCAAATTCCATATATGTACATTTTGCAAGACGACGCGTGACTCACACGGGAACTGACGAGTCCCTACGTTGTATGTACCGCTTACATGCAAAGCATGAAATACTTGAGGGCAATCTCACCCATAGTGCATTGCGGTACTACAAACACATTGAGACTATGAAGGAGCGACAACTCTGATAATGATTGAATTCAGGGTAGAGACGATATGACCTCTGAGAAAATGTTAAAATATGCGAACTGGGATGTAGACCTACTTCAGAGATTTCATCGGAGGTCGTCATGTTTTGTTCACTAAGCCGTGTTTGTAAAGTCCCAATCTCTTTAGAGACAATTTACAAAATAATCAAGCAAACAAGGTCCGGTGAAGCCCGCTATTTCATATATATATTAAATTCCTACTGAAGTCCTGTCTGTTCACAATGTGATTGGCCAAAATCTTACTAGTAATTCCCGGCGTCCGTTTAGTTGTGCGCTGTGTTGACTTGAGATTAGCATCGACCGGCCTTACCTGAACAGTCGAGACTAGTGAGAGAACAAAAAAAAAGAGTTCCTGGTTAAGGACTAATGGGATGCTTTAATAAGTCTCCATTGTTTAACAATAATTAAAGACACATTTGTTACACACTTTTCCCGGTATACGTAACAATGAATACAACGTCTTATTTGGCCGCTGTGTTATGTCAGGGACGTATATATCACATCATATATACGTCTGCATAATGTCTGATTTGTTTTTTAAACGAATAACAAGTACAGCAGTTCCTGTAAAAAAAAAATACCTTGGACAGATCGTCCCACATTAATACTGTTCTTATTGGGAAAAAATCAAATTGTATAATTAAGACTCGGAAATATATTACATTTGTCCTCTGCTGCAAGTGATATACGATTCTGTCATTCACTCCTGGATAGTACATCCGGGATCCCATTAGAGATGCGTATTTTGTTAGCAAATAGTACAGAGGGAACTGCGTTCCTCTGACTTCATATCGCCTTTTATACTTTCATTATTTGTTTCACACCCCCAGAGGCTCTCTAGGGTTTACTTGTTGGTTTTCACTGTTCGTGTAAATACTTTTTACATTTCTGAACACTGCGCGTCTCGGCATATTTTCACGTTTTCTTGTGAGGAGGGGCTCCCTCTCGGCCGCCATCTTGGAAAAACATAAAATCGTGAGTGAATTTGATTTTGATGGGGACATTCTCAACAATATGGAGCCCGTTACACGAAAAAAAACCAACAAAAAAAGGCGACAAAGGCAAAAAATCCAATGTTTCACATAACACTGGCGGGAAGCCTTCTTCCTCAATTGGGGTATTAGTGTCAAGTTTCAAGGGGTGCAGTATGGTCCTTTACATTATAGGTCTCTCGAGGAAGATAAAATTATTGCACTTAAAGTTGCACATGGTAGTTATATGGCTCAGATGTCACTTTCACCACAGAGTAAAGTAGACCTAGAATGGTGGGTGAATAATGTACATACCACCCTAAGCCCTATTTCCCATGGTACACCCACTGTCATCCTTACCTCGGATGCATCTAAAAAAGGATGGGGTGGCGCATTATTTGATAATGATGGGAAGGTCAAACTTAAAGCAGGTGGACGATGGTCTCCTGAGGAAAGGAAAGCCTTGATCACATTAATTATCTGGAGTTGAAAGCAGCATGGTTTACATGTCAGGCATTGTGTAGTGACCTACATCATGTACATATTCGATTGAACATTGACAATACAACGGCTATTGCATACATTTCTAACATGGGGGGTAAGACAAAAGCCTGTAATGAGTTGGCTGTAAAACTCTGGAATTGGGCTATTGATAGGAATATATGGTTATCCGCAGCCCACATTCCAGGTCGTGAAAATGTTGAGGCCGATACGGAAAGTAGACTTAAACATGAAAACACAGAATGGAGGTTACATACAAGTATTTTTCAAATCTTGGTAAAAATTTGGGGCAGACCACAAATTGATTTGTTTGCTTCCAGACTGAATGCACAGCTTCCTAAGTATGTATCTTGGAAGCCTGATCCCTTTGCATGTGCAGTTGATGTTTTTACATTAACATGGAACACTTACAGTTTTATTTTTCCGCCATTCTCTTTATTGGGTAACCTTCTCCACAAAGTATGTGAGGAAAAAGCACAAGCTTTATCAATAGCCCCAATGTGGCCAACTCAGCCATGGTATTCACATCTTCTGAACTGTATTATTGATTGTGTTTTTATTTTACCTACGGTCAACAGAATCCTCAGTCATCCACACCGAGGAACCAGGGACAGGAACAACCTTCCAAAGATGACATTAATGGCTTGTCGGGTGTCAGGAGATCCCTCCGAATGTTGTCAATTCTTGGTCATAGAGTAAGAAAGCATTTTCTTCATGTTATGAGCAAAAAGTGGTGTTGTGATAGGGCAATATTTCATTCATGTCTCAGTTCGAACGTGTCAACTACGCCTTAAAAATTAAGTGATAATCTTAATTCACTACATAGGTAACCTGTGCTTACCATCGATTTAAAATTAAGATAGAATTCGCTTTGATATTTATGACCTTTAAGCGGCAATAAAAGGTAGCGGCACCACTGCATTGTTTGATGTGCAAATTCACGTATTCTCTAGAGCAAAGGAGTTCATCCAACACAATAGTAGTTTTAGAACACATCTAGTAGAAGGTTAGAGTGTGGCTGTTTCGATGACTACACGTTCACCTTCATCAGATACGTATGTAGTGTACGAGATGGTAAGGAATCAACCAACTTTTTCGGCTGTACTATACTTATGTACATTAAGGTCGAAAATAGTGTGACAAGATGGTAAACATATAATAGACAAAAACTGAAGCTGTCGATCAATTCGCCTACGTTTTGTTCCGGAATATCGGAATTAACCCAAATTTAATAGGCAGTGGTCAACATCTGCCCCGCTCATTTTTGTAGACACAGGACAGATGTGCATATTACATTACCTGTTATTCACGTCTCTGCCCACGAGAGGTAAATTCAATTTTACGCGTCTGTTGTTTAAGACTAAACATTTCGTTAAATGTGTAATCAAAATTTTCATTTACTTCACAAAGTTTCTTACTCCATAAAAGATACTCAGCTTTTTCCCTCTTATTTTAAGGTGAAAGCTGTATGAACTATGGTTTACTAAATATTCATAAGTCCATTACAGTTAGCCTGAGAACAACAACTAGCTTCCTGTTATCATTGCTTATGAACAGATGATTTAATATCGCTTTGAGAAAGATGGTACAATTGGGAGATTTTAAATCCATTATTTTCTCGTCACTTTACAGCTGATGATATTCATACGGGAAAATAACAAACAAATGACAGGTAACATCATACTCGATATTTCAGGGGTGATCAACACTTTCGCTCTCTGCATCCCCGGAACATGTCATGGCAAAATAGAAGGCACAAGCGAAGTAATTTGATTAGATCACAGAAAAAAATAAACCCTTACCAATCACAGGCTGATACGCTCCGTTTGAAGAGTGACTTCAAAGCCATTATGATATACGTATGCGACCTCGAGATTTGTTTGATGAACATCAGAGGATCAAACTAGTATTCTCGTTTTGTCCACAATGTTTCGCACATGAAACCTTCATTTTTGCCATGACATGTTCCAGGGGTTCAGAGAGTGAAAGTGATGGTAACCCCTGGAGTATCGATGATGGTTCCAGGGGTTCAGAGAGTGAAAGTGATAGGAACCCCTGGAGTATCGATGATGGTTCCAGGGGTTCAGAGAGTGAAAGTGATAGGAACCCCTGGAGTATCGATGATAGTTCCAGGGGTTCAGAGAGTGAAAGTGATAGTAACCCCTAAAGTATCGAGGATTGTTCCAGGGGTTCAGAGAGTGAAAGTGATGGTAACCCCTGGAGTATCGATGATGGTTCCAGGGGTTCAGAGAGTGAAAGTGATAGTAACCCCTACAGTATCGAGGATTGTTCCAGGGGTTCAGAGAGTGAAAGTGATGGTAACCCCTGGAGTATCGATGATGGTTCCAGGGGTTCAGAGAGTGAAAGTGATAGGAACCCCTACAGTATCGAGGATTGTTCCAGGGGTTCAGAGAGTGAAAGTGATAGTAACCCCTGGAGTATCGATGATGGTTCCAGGGGTTCAGAGAGTGAAAGTGATAGTAACCCCTGGAGTATCGATGATGGTTCCAGGGGTTCAGAGAGTGAAAGTGATAGGAACCCCTGGAGTATCGATGATGGTTCCAGGGGTTCAGAGAGTGAAAGTGATAGTAACCCCTAAAGTATCGAGGATTGTTCCAGGGGTTCAGAGAGTGAAAGTGATGGTAACCCCTGGAGTATCGATGATGGTTCCAGGGGTTCAGAGAGTGAAAGTGATAGGAACCCCTACAGTATCGAGGATTGTTCCAGGGGTTCAGAGAGTGAAAGTGATAGGAACCCCTGGAGTATCGATGATGGTTCCAGGGGTTCAGAGAGTGAAAGTGATAGGAACCCCTAAAGTATCGAGGATTGTTCCAGGGGTTCAGAGAGTGAAAGTGATGGTAACCCCTGGAGTATCGATGATGGTTCCAGGGGTTCAGAGAGTGAAAGTGATAGGAACCCCTGGAGTATCGATGATGGTTCCAGGGGTTCAGAGAGTGAAAGTGATAGGAACCCCTGGAGTATCGATGAGAGGGGTTCAGAGAGTGAAAGTGATAGTAACCCCTAAAGTATCGAGGATTGTTCCAGGGGTTCAGAGAGTGAAAGTGATGGTAACCCCTGGAGTATCGATGAGTATCGATGATGGTTCCAGGGGTTCAGAGAGTGAAAGTGATAGGAACCCCTGGAGTATCGATGATGGTTCCAGGGGTTCAGAGAGTGAAAGTGATAGGAACCCCTAAAGTATCGAGGATTGTTCCAGGGGTTCAGAGAGTGAAAGTGATGGTAACCCCTGGAGTATCGATGATGGTTCCAGGGGTTCAGAGAGTGA